CAACTTAGCATCATGTTATGTTAAGCGCAAAGTCTACTACGCGAGTGGGAACGTACTATTACCCTGTTGGCTTATCGTTTCTGTAGCTTATAAGCCGACGGATGCTATTTTGTTGGGAGTGAAAGACACTATATGATAACTGATAAACATGGCATACTCCCACTCTACTTGGGCCGTGTTTAGTTGGGTGAAATTTAGGAATTTGGCTACTGTAGCACTTTCATTTTTATTTGGCAATTAGTGTTCAATCATGGATTAATTAGGCTCAAAATGTTCGTCTCGCGATTTCCAACCAAACTGTGCAATTAATTTTTTTTCGTCTATATTTAATGCTCCATACACGTATCGCAAGATTTGATGCGATGACTACTGTAGCACTTTTGGGGAAGCTTGGCCTCTGTTGCACACTAGCTAGCCTGTCCCTATCCCGTTCCTTTGTAGCACTTCTGGGGAAGCTTGGCCTCTGTTGCACACTAGCTAGGCCTTGTTTAGATTGCAGTCAGGAATTAGTATTTGTCACTGTAGCACTTTCGTTTGTATTTGACAATTATTATCCAATTATGGTCTAACTAGGCTCAAAAGATTCGTCTCGTAATTTACAATCAAACTATGTAATTAGTTATTTTTTTATCTACATTTAATACTCCATGTATGTGTCCAAAGATTTAATGTGACGGAGAGAGAGTGAAAAAACTTACGATCTAAACAAGACCCTGGCCTGTCCCTATCCCGTTCCTTTCGAAACCCCCCGGCGGCAGAAACGTGTGTCCATCCGCATCCGCGTCGGCGAATTGAAGTGGGTGTTCGTTCTCAAGAGGACAGTCTTGCGTGTGCCACATCGCGCTCCATAACTGCAGCGCGCAAAGGAACGCGAAAAGGATGCCGCGGTGCCACGCTCCAAAAAAATGGACAACTGGTGTTTCCTTTTCCGAGGAGGAAATGACGATCGAGAGCACAAGGTTCTGGCTCGACAAGACGTGCGAGGGGAACTACACGGGCGGAGGCAGCACAAGCGTCGCATCGATCAATCAAAGATCGCAAACACGCTATGTCGATGGATGTGATGATGCAAGGACGACCAGGAAATAGTGCAGCCATACAGGTGAACCATTAGAACGAGAAGTGACTCGAGAATGCATCCGTCCATGATGCCTAGCCCTTACCACTAGTGAACCTACTTATAGAATGACCGAAATCACTCGTGAAAACGTCAAAGAGTACTCGTAGATAATGAGCACTCGTAGATCAAAAGATGATAGGGAAAAACAAAGGGCTTGTTTAGTTGCCCCAAATTTCAGAATTTGGCACTATGCAAAAAGAAAATTTCCCGTTACATCAATCTTGCGATATATGCATGGAGTACTATATGTTGATGAAATCAAAAACTAATTGCACAGTTTAGTTTTACTTTACGAAACGAACATTTTGAGCCTAATTAGTCAATGATTGGACAATTATTACCAAATAAAAACAAAACGCTATAGTAGCTACAGTGCACCCCGAATCCGGCGACACCGATTCGGTGGCCGAACTAAACGCGGCCAAAAAGAAAAATTAGATCCATACCATCGAAAGATCCTGACTTTGAAAAAATACCATCAAAAGATTCAGTTTTAAAGAAATAGCATTGAAAGGTTGCTCCGCTGTTGATTTCGTTATCTTGCCCTTAATTTGCTCAACTTGCTTGTAAGAAAAAAGAATGCAGGACTGCAGGAAAGCTGCCATGACCAAATCCACGGCCATCGGCTGTCGGCACCGCCGCTGCTCGCGTTCAGTTCGGCCTGCGCTGCAGTTCACGTCCATGGCCTATGGAGCTGCTCCCCTCTCCTTCACCACAGTACACTCGTCGCGCCATCTCGAGCTGCTGCTCATCGTCCATCATCTCCAATTTCTTCCTCCTCTGTTGTCGATCACAGAAGGAATTCGCACCCGTCGATCCGCGACGCCTGACCACCGCGGTCCAATTCCTTCGATGGTGAGCATCTTAGACTCTCCTCCACCTTTCCCAAGCCGTGCCCCTTTCTCTCCTTGTCTATACAGAACTGCTCTCGAGCTTCAGAGCCGCAACCATGGCCGCCAATGACGCTCGATAGTCGATACTCCCTTGCTTCCCCTCCCTCCCCCACGCTGGGAACCCCCAACATCGAAACCCCTTATCCTCCTATCTCTCCCCGTGCTCTCGGATTTAGGAATGGTAGCCAAGAACTGGATTTTAGCGAAGCTCCAGTGAGCGCCATGATGAGCACGGCGGCGCTCATGTCGATGGTCGTCGTCGTCGACTCAGCCCATGCTGGACTGAACGACAAATCAACGGCAAGTTAACATAATGGTAGAAATCAACAATGGAGCAATCTTTCAATGCTATTTCTCTAAAGCTGAATCTTTTGATAGTATTTTTCTAAAGTCAGGATTTTTTAATGGTATGGATCTAATTTTCCCAAAACAAAAAGATGGATCAAAAGATTAAGATAGCGCCGCAAATTATGGTACATTGCTTGTTACAGAAATCTTAGAGATCGAACAACAAAAAGAAATGTTAAGTGGTGTACACGGTTATATCAAGGTACTTGTGTACACCTACCCAAAATAACATTGGCAAGTGCATTGATGTGTGTAGCAGCGTGTCCGGCTAGACAGAGAGGTAGAGATACTTGGTAATATAGGGTGGGACACGAGGGTAGTTCGGAAGTTAAAAAGCATGATGAAGAAGGATAATTTGGAAAGTAAAATACGCGGATCAGAAGAAATGCTATGCTCTTTAATGCTCCATCGTTCCAAAATTTTAGACGCTTTGGCTTTCATAGATTTAGTGCTTTTGTTATGCATCTAGATATATATTATGTCTAGATACACATTAAAACTATGAATCTAAAAATGTCAAAATATCTTATAATTTGAGATTGAGATAGTATTAAGTAGAGATAGGAAGAATAAGACAAGATATAACTACAGTCATATGAATAGATAGAGAAGTATAAATATAAAATTTATAAAGACGTTTTGTATTTTTTAATAAAACATGGACAACGGACAATAATGAGGATATTATATATTATAAGAATAGAAAATGGTTCAAAGAAAGGTTTGATAAGTATAAAGATAGAGACACAGAGGAGACACAGAGCTGTTCGATAGTTTTCTGCTGCTAACAAGCCGGCTAAAACCGTTTAGTTACGAGAGAAAAACATGGTAAATGACTGTTCAAGCGGCGACATATAGTATATTAACTGTCACGTAATTATGCCAAAACGTTGCCACGTTGGCAGGAAAATAAGTCGATGAAACGTGGGCCAATGCCGCCACACGCGACACGCCCACGCCAATGCGGCTATACCTGCAGTGCTCCTAGCACTACAAATTACTGTCCCATCATTGCCTCCGGCCTTTTTTAGATGGGTGTTAGAAATCAGTATTTGTCACTGTAGCATTTTTGTTTGTATTTGATAATTATTGTCCAATCATGGTCTAACTAGGCTCAAAAGATTCATCTCGTAATTTACAATCAAACTGTATAATTAGTTATTTTTTTATCTATATTTAATACTCCATGCATGTGTAGAAAGATTTGATGTGATGGGAGAGAGAGTGAAAAAACTTGGAATCTTAACAAGGCCTCCATAATTAATTGATTACCTGGCCGTACGAAATCTTGACCTAAAATTAGGTCGTGTTTAGTTCGGCCGATTCGGTGCCGGCGAAATCACTGTAGCTACACTGACGTTTTGTTTTTATTTGGTAATAATTGTCTAATTAGGTTCAAAACGTTCATCTCGTAAAGTACAACTAAACTGTGCAATTAGTTTTTGATTTCATCAACATTTAGTACTCCATGCATGTATCGCAAATTTGATGTGACGGGGAATCTTCTTTTTGCATAGTGTCAAAGTTGGGAATTTTGGCCACGTTTAGGGCCTGTTTAGTTCCACCCAAAACCCAAAATTTTTTGCGCAGTATCCATCACATCGAATCTTGCGGTATATGCATGAAGTACTAAATGTAGACGAAAAAAAACTAATTACACAGTTGAGTGAGAAATCGCGAAACGAAACTTTTGAACCTAATTAGTCCATAATTAGACACTAATTGCCAAATACAAACGAAAGTGCTACAGTACCCAAAAACCAAAAATTTTTGCCAACTAAACAGTCCCTTAATTGGGTCGAATTGGCGCCGCCAAACGCATTGCAGCTATACTGTAGCTACAGTGTCATTTGTTTTTATTTGGTAATAATTGTCGAAACGTTGACTAATTAAGCTCAAAATGTTAAATTCAAAAAGTACAACCAAATCATGCAATTAGTTTTTTTTTAATCAACATTTAATACTTTCCATGTAGCATGCTGATGAAATTTGATGTGATGGGAAATCTTATTTTTGCGTAGTGTCAAAGTTGGGAATTTGGTGGAAGTAAACATGGCCCTTGTTTAGTTCACCAAAACTCTCAACTTTGACACTATGGAAAAAGAAGATTCTCCGTCACATCAAACTTGCGGTACATGCATGGAGTACTAAATGTTGATGAAATAAAAAATTAATTGTACAGTTTGGTTGTACTTTACGAGACGAATGTTTTAAGCCTAATTAGTCAACGATTAAATAATTATTACCAAATAAAAACAAAAATGCTACAGTGTAGCTACCGCGCCGGCGAATTCAGCCGGCGCCGCCGGAACTAAACGCGGCCATGGCCCTAATCACCGTCCAAACGCGTCGCTTTAAATAATCCGGAAACGCCTTCCTCCCCCTTTCTCTCTCCAGTTTTTGAACACACCGTTGTGAGCAAGACAAGACAAATCGATAGTGGAGGAGCAACGCGCTCACCGCCCCACCACACCAGCGAGACACCCCCGCTAGGGTTTTCCCCCGCCGACCGGGCATTGCGGAGGCAGCAAGCCACGCCACAGCGCGGCGGAACGTGAGCTCCGCGGCGGCGGGGCGCCACTCCCGGCGGCGTCGGCTGATTTGGATGGTGGGTTGCCCCGCTGGGCCTCAGATCTGAGATGGCCGACGGCGGGGGCGAGGAGGGGAATGCTTCGGCGCAAAAGGGCTCCGCGCGCCGCCGGGGCCTGGTGCAGGCGGGCCTGGACTCAGACGACCTCCTCACGCTCATGCACAGGTCGGATCCCGTCAAGGTCGAGCTTAACCGGCTCGAGAACGAAGTCAGGGGTGAGCTGATTCGTGACTGTTGCTGTGTGGGTTCAAATTTTAGTTGATTTTCGCAGCATTTTAAGGGTCTTATTGGGCAATGTTTGGTTCTTCTATGAGGTTTTAGATAAGGATAGGGAGCTGGGCGAGGCGCACGCGGAGATAAAGGCGCTCCGGCTGTCGGAGAGGGCGCGGGAGAAGGCCGTCGAGGAGGTAACCTCTGAATGTTCTTCGTGCTTGTGTAAGACCGTTGTTTGAATAGTCATTTCACTGTATTTGTGAACTGGAGTGGTGTCGTCGCGCCAGATTTTAAGTGGAAAACTTGGGAGCCATGGGCAAATAGCCCCTCGGGAGGACTCAGTCTCACACTAAGCTGGGTTTAGCAGGAGTTTGAGCGCAAGGCATCTGAACCCTGTTTGTTTCTTGTAGTATTCAGCTGGGTCGATTAATTCAAGGGTTATTTGGATTCTTGCCATTACAATTTCTCAAGTTTTGAAGAACGCCATTACTATTCTTCTTATTGGAAACTTGCCATTACTATTCTGTTTCTCCCTCACCCTTGCCCTTTTCTACGTCTGAGCGTAGCTAGGCCCACCTGTAGGTGCCGTATTTCCGTATGGGCCCATATTGCCCCTGTACGAGAGGATAAGGCTGAGCAGCACGCCCCTGTTCTTCTCTGCCGCGTCCGTTCTTCTCTCGCACTCTTCCTCATTCTTCCCCCTTCTCTGCCGCCCGCCCGCCCGCCCCACCCTGCTACTGCTGCCACTACAGCAAGTTCATCGTTGGATCCACGATCAGCAGCTCATTGCCTTGCACTTCACCGGAATCGGCCGGTTGAACCCACCACGGGACAGCAAGGTGCCGACCACCGCCATGTCCCGGCAGAACACGCCCTGGAATGGTGGGCTCAATGGCGTCGCTGCAGTCGCCGCGGTCACCACTGTCCTGGGCATTGGAATCACCGACGCCATCGGTTCCGGCTTGGTGGTGACCAGAACATTGCCACCGTTTGCAATGGCGACGGGAACACTCTCCGGCACCGGCTTCTCTGGCATTGTCGCCATTTCTTCTTCTTCTTCTTCTTGCTTTGGTTCGGACTCTGCAGCCAAAGCAGCTGCCGCGGCGGCGTCCTTGGCCCTCTGCCTCTTGGCAGCCTCCTCGTCCAAAGAACCACCGGCCCCGACATGATGAACGAATAGCCCTTTTGCGAAGATCCGGTAGAGGAACAACGCCGACATGCGCGCGCTGGTCGCAAGACGGCCTCCAGTCGCGGTGCTTTCGTCCACGAGCGCTCCAGCCTCTCCGCGAACGAGACCGATCGACCGAAAGCGAACGCGGCGGCGCTTGCCAACGAGGCAGGCCGTGGCGAAGGGGGTGTGGCGACCTGCACGCGGCGCGTGTTGAGCACCTTGTTGAAATGCCGCACAACCTCGCCAGGAGGTCGGCGTCCAGCGCCGCCACCACCACCGCGCTGCGCGGCGGCGGCGGATGAGCTTCACGTCTTGCGGCAGTGCGCGACACGGACTCCGCCTCGGACGCCGTTGTAGAGCTGGACTTATTGGAGGACGACGCCCTTCGCATGGCGGGAGCGCGGCGTTGTTGACCGTCCGCCAGTTCGACGGTGAGAAGCGTCCTCCAACAAGCACACGCTCTCGCCGCCACGCCACGGTGGCGGTTTGGAGGAGCACCACCGCGTCCTCCATCGGCCGAGGTGGAAAGCAAGCTTGGCCCAGACCAAGTACCTCCACTGGTCTCGGTCTTTGGAGCTCTGGAGAGAAGCCGGGCGGCGAGGTGGCGCTTGAGGTCGGATCGTCCGAGGCGCAGAGAATCGGGTGGCGCCGGCGTCGAAAGCGGTCGCGGTCCGGGGCGAGAGCTCGCCGGAGCGGCACACAAGGAGGACGAGGTGGTGGTGGTGGCGTCGTCGCCCGAAACACGACTTAAGCGCACTGGGGATGTAGTCGCGAAGCATGTCGGCGACGTTGCGGTAGCGCCGAGTGTGAGGAGCACGCGCTGCACAGAGCTCAGCGCCGCCGCCTCGGCGGGCGACATCTCCAGAGCGGAGGTCACCGGTAAGCGCCGCCACCAGCGTCGTCCGCATCCTCGGTGTCATGCGCCGCCGCAGCGAGCGCCGCCAGCGCCTCGCCGAGGTACCTATCGATCACCTGTCGCACATCGCAATCACCTGCGGGGTGGCGCGGGCGTGCGGCAGAGAAGGGGGAAGAACGAGGAAGAGTGTGAGAGAAGAACGGGGGCGGCAGAGAAGAACGGAGGCGTGCTGCTCAGCCTTATCCTCTCGTACAGGGGCAATTCTCGTACAGGGGCAATACGGACCCATATGGAAATACGGCACCTGCAGGTGGGCCTAGCTACGCTCCAAACGTAGAAAAGGGCAAGGGTGAGGGGGAAGCTGAATAGTAATGGCAAGTTTCCAATAAGAAGAATAGTAATGGCGTTCTTCAAAACTTGAGAAATTGTAATGACAAGAATCCAAATAACCCTTAATTCTAATGATATGGTTCATTTCTGGGTGGCATGATTTTCTCGGTCCAGCATTTTTTTGCAATTTTGTTCAAAATTAGTTTGGTTTAGCTTTTCATGGGCACATCCCATCCGCCTGAGTGACAGTTGAATAAGTCCATAGCAGCATGTTGCTCTTATGGTTTCATTTTCCCCCCTTTTCCTAGTTTACCAATAAGGCATAGTATATATGATCTGGAGTGTCATGTGTCAATAATTGCTGAAAAAATAAGAATCGACTAAGTATATATGGAGTCTTTCTTCTGTTGTCTGTTCATTCAGGTCTAGTTATGGAGGACTTCAGGAGTTCACTGAAGCGAATAGAATCTGGTTCGGGGATCCTGAAGCTTCTTTTACAATTTTTGAGTTTTGATTCTCATTTTCCATATATGGTGGCCCCTTTTTTTGTTCAGCTAAGGCAGAGCCTTAAATTACTTTCAGAGCACTGTGCTATGGCTAGTATTATCAATTGGGATCCTTTCTGTTATCTGTTTGTTTCTTAAACATATAGTTGCAGTTTAAATGTCTGTTGAGCCTGTCCAATTTAAGTCAGTGTCAAATTCACGACGAACCATATCCTGTATGATCTTATTTTTTCTATTGTGTTTCTGTAAGATGGGATATCTTGTTTGTGGGCGTCTATTATTCGTCTGGATCTAAGGTCCTCCCATTTGCTTATCGACTTATCCCTTTGGAACTCAACATGTCATAGGTTTCCTGAGCAAGTGAACAGTATGTCTGGCTTTTATAACATACTTGCTTATTGGCAAATCCAAGTAGCTCCTGAAACATGAATGACTCAACATTTGATTTATGATCAGTTAATGAAATCAATCCAGTGATTGAGATTTTGCCCCTTTTGGGTGCCAAGGCAAAGGTTCTTTTGCATTTTTTATTTTTACTCTTGCATTTCTTTGTGTTTAAAGATTCCTCAAAATAACTATTTCACCAGCTAAGGCATTTTTTTTTTTCAAATCAAAGATACATCTGTCATATTAAACTGGTGTGGTAATGCTCTTGCCAGGGGCAACTCAATTAATTTGTAGCTTTGTATGCCATTAGTGAATATAGAGATGGCCTGACTCATGTTGAGATGTGCTATGCTCTTTAACATTAGTTTTCGTGATGGTACCTGGGCTAGTGGGCTATGCTCTATTGCTCTTGATATATAAATAAATGAAAATAAAGGGAAAGGGAGTTCTTCTTTCTATTTTGTTAAAGATGGTTAGTTTCCTTTGTTAATATGACTGTTAATATGTTGTACTTTGATGGCAGCTCACTGCTGAATTAGAGAAGGTGGATGAGAAACTCAAGTTGACAGAGTCTCTCCTTGAAAGCAAAGTATATATATCCTTTGACTCCCTTTTGTTGTTTCTGCCCCCTCTATTGGTTGCTCTTTGATAACTGGAGTTTTGCAGAACCTAGAACTGAAGAAAACAAATGATGAAAAAAAGGCTGCTATGGCTGCTCAGTTTGCAGCTGAAGCAACACTACGAAGAGTACATGCAGCTCAGAAAGATGATGATATGCCACCTATTGAAGCTATCCTTGCACCACTTGAAGCAGAGTTAAAGATTTCTAGGAAGGAGGTAATACTTACAACCTACCTCTTACCTGTTTTTGATCTGTGATGAAGTCATCATATTTTTCTCATACTTCTTGGCATATTGATTTCCTCTCTTATTGCATAGACCATATGCATTTCCTTTTAATGCAGAGGATACATATTTACTATACCTGACAAAAGAATTCCTGGTTCTTTTCAGATCGCAAAGCTCCAGGATGACAATAGAGCTTTGGACCGTTTAACAAAGCAAAAGGAGGCAGCACTGCTAGAAGCGGAAAGGACTGTACAAATCGCAATGGCTAAAGCTGCTATGGTTGATGACATGCAAAACAAGAACCAAGAGTTGATGAAGCAAATTGAAATTTGCCAGGTAAATAGAGTTTATTGTATCGTACAAGGTCTATACAATAAATTAATCAGTAAAGTCATCTCAATTGAACTTATTTGTTGCTTACCTTCTTGGAATGCAGGAAGAAAGTAAGATCTTGGATAAGCTGCACCGCCAAAAAGTTGCAGAAGTAGAAAAGCTGAGTCAAACTGTGAGAGAGCTGGAAGAGGATGTTCTGCAAGGTGGTGCAGCTGCCAATGTTGTTAGAGATTACCAACGGAAAGTTCAAGAAATGAATGTAACCTACTATCCTTCATCTCTTAGGGCCTGTTTGGAAAGGTGGCTTGATGATCCAAATCCCTTGGGTTTAGTAAAAAGTTGAACTAAATCCTAAAAATTCGTTGACCAATCTTCCCTTGCAAACAGGCCATTCCTCTGCAATTATTGATTCTTTACACAATCGTGTGACCTATGCTATTTTCTGTTCATGACACAATTAGGAAGAAAAGAAAATTCGTGACCGTGAACTTGCTCGAGCGAAAGTTACTGCAAATAGGGTTGCTGTTGTGGTCGCAAATGAGTGGAAAGATGCTAATGACAAAGTAATGCCTGTTAAACAGTGGCTTGAAGAGCGAAGGTTCCTGCAGGTAGGATGCTAAAGCTGTTTCATATAGGACATCCACAGTTATCAATATAGTAACATGCATTAATTCTAATGTCTTTGACGAAAATCGCTTCTGCAGGGTGAGATGCAGCAACTTCGTGACAAACTTGCTATTGCAGTGAGAACTGCTCGATCAGAAGCTCTATTAAAGGTTAATAATCACAATGTTCATTTTGAGCTAATATTTTAAGCACGTGAGTTATTAATTTTCAACTAACCATTAAAATTTATCTGAACTCAGGAAAAGTGTCAGTTGCGCTTAAAGGTTTTAGAAGATAGTTTGAGGGGCCCTCCAAGTGGTTCTAGTCATCCTCCTATGGAAGGAAAGAGTATAAGTAATGGACCTCCCCGTCGACTTTCACTAGGTGGTATTGATAGTATATCCAAAATGTCTCCAAACGGTGTGTTAATGAGGAGGTCTCCATCTTTCAATTCAAGATCCTCCCTCTCGACCAGCAGTTGTTTGGTCCTGAAGCATGCAAAAGGAACTTCAAAGTCATTCGATGGTGGTACCAGGTCATTAGACCGGGGAAAAGTTCTCGGGAGTGGACCTCATTCACTCAATAGATCTACGGATGCGGTTAAAGATTGTGAAACAACTGATAATTGGAAGGCTATCGCAGAAGAAAAAAGTAATGAAACCACAAACAACGATTCAGCTGATATGGTGTCTGGTGTACTCTATGACGTGCTGCAAAAGGAGGTAGTTTCCTTGAGAAAGGCATGCCATGAGAAAGACCAAACTCTAAAGGACAAAGAAGATGCAATAGAGGTATGATGCTATACTAGATTACTACTATCACGGAAATGCAACTTTATTATTTAGTACTACTACTTCCGTCCCAAAATAGATGACCTTATAGCATTAAAATTTTGTCACAAAATACTTGACCTCACTTCCCAATGCACCTCTCTTTTCCCAATACATCTCTATCTCTACCCCTTGAGGGGCATTTTGGTCTTTTGGCTTCAGCGTTGGTTTCCGTGAGAGATTCTTAAACATCATCTAATATGGGACAGAGGGGGTACCTCCATTCTCTCCTAGTTTGCTATATTTCTCACATGAAACTGTAGTACTCCCTCTCACAAAGGGTTGCAGTTTTAGGTTTGTCCTAATTCAAATATTTCTATCTTTGACCATCAATCCCTTTAGATTTGTATAGTCTATAACAACATTTATGAAAGTATTTCTCATGGTGTACCTAGAAACATAGAACTTATGATGATAAACGATACAAATTTCTAGAAATTGATGGTTAAAGATAAGACTCTGGACAAAACTAAGACAACAACCTTTTCTGAAACGGAGGGAGTAGTGTGGTAGTGAGATTGTTAATCTGTTTGCCGACAATAATTGAAGGCCATGTCAGTGCTCAAAAACTAGTATTAAGTCAGATTGGACATAGTGGATATTGTATGTGAAGAAACATCGTCTGTGGTTTTATGGTTTAGCTTATACTGTTGTCTACAGATGCTAGCAAAGAAAGTAGATACATTACATAAATCAAAGGAAGTGGAGGCTAAAAAGAAGAGGCAAGAGATAGCTGCTTTGGAGAAAAAATTTGCTGCTGTGTGCCTTGAACAAGAACGACTTGGTAATTTGAGAGGACCTGGAACTTCTCAGACGGTTTCCGGAAGGTATGCCCTTTGAAATGTTTTATACAAGAATAATTTTTTATAAGGTTTTATATGTAACCTTGACCTTCTCTTTGAATACTTGAACATGTATACCACATATCTTGGAAGATTAGTAAACCCAAAATGTGCTATCTACTTCAATTCCATGGATTTATATATTAATAAATATTAACCTTTCAATTGCTGTCTTGCTTAACATATACTTTTATATAAGCAGGCTTAATATATACTCTGTAATTCATGCCTCTTTTATTTAAGTAGCACGAGCAACTCAAGTTATTTGGTGACATACGAATAACACTGGAACATAGTTTGTTTTTGTCAAGTGCTATCATAATTTACACCTTCATTTTAATGCTGCAGAACTGCATCACGGGGTGGATTGACGCGCAACCTCCAATAGCATACATCTAACTTCAGGCAGGCATGGAATTCGTCAATAGGCTTCATTTCCATTGTATTTCTTCCCCTGTTCTTATTCGTTTTGTGATCAAATAGCACAGATGACCCTGCGATACCTAGATGGGAGAAAAGAGTAGGTTTTCATCTGACTTGACTTGCTTTTAATGTAGTGAAGGTAAAATCCTTCGGTGGGTGAGGTTTAACCTTGCGGCATGCCTCATTTTGTCGAGGCAGTGCTGTGGTGGTTGTATAGGTTGGACGATCCTGTGCCTTTCTATATGTAGTGGAGCTAGTGTGTTTGTGTTGCAAGTCCGGGTTGTGAATATATCATTGTATTCTGCTGTGGTTTCTCCTTTCTTCCCAATTTGTTTGCCCCTGGTGGTTGGGCTGGACTTGGTTCTTGGGACACCGTGTGTGCTACTGTCTTGTTCAACGCCGAGCTGAATCAGAATGGAGTTTGTCATTTGACCCGACCATGTGTTACGTACGTATCACCTGCTGTGGACGAATTTGTTACTGCAAGCTGTTCGTCAGGCATTTTCTGAGCTGCAGCTGCAATTGCATCTCACACAGCACGTGTGCTTAGGTTCATGTTTCGGAGGTGGCAGGTTTTGGATGAAATGGTTTGAATATCTTAGGTGCAGGCCAGGTTACTGTTGCGCTGGTGATGTCCCTTAGGTCTTGTTTAGTTTCTCCACCTAAAGTTTGACACGGCATGAAGTATTAAATATAAACTAAAAAATAACTAATTGCATAATTTACGACTAATTTGTCTGACAAATCTTTTAAGCCTAATTAGCTCATGATTTGATAATTAGGTTTAATAAATTCGTCTCGCGGATTACTGATGGATTCTGAAATTTATTTTTTTTATTAGTATCCGAACACCTCATGTAACACCCTAAAACTTTATATTCAGATTTGAACAAGTTCGATCACATGCCTTGCAAAAGCGCGAACTGCAAAATGGATGTGCATCATTTTATCACGTTGACCACCGAGTCTTGGACGAGGTCTCCATGGAACCACTCGATTGCACCGTGCCCTGCAAGCTTCCTCAAAATATGTCTTCTTTAACGTTGGGTTCCTTGGCGACAAATCCTTGACGATCTTATCACTTGGTACAGCGTGTGTACTCCCTCAAAAAAAAAATGCAATTCTTACTTCCCGAAAAATCAATTAATTTTAATTTTGATCAAAATTATAAAAAAGTACTAACATTTATAATATAAAATAAGTATCAATAGATTAATAATGAAATATATTTACGTAATAAATCTTATTTGAGATATAACTGTTAATACTAATCACTATAAACTTAGTTAAACTTTAGCAAATTTGCCATGCACGAATCCTATAATTACGTCTTTTTTAGATGGAGTAGTATTATATTATTATAGAGTGCAGTGTAGTGGACGGATGGGGAGCAGGAGGCATCTTCTTCCGTTGCATTTCTTTGTCCAGGTCTCTTTGCGACCATTTTCTCCTCTTTCCCTGGCTTTCCACGGTGGCTTCGTGTCCTTTTCTGCTTTGTTTCCATTATTACACAGCGCACAGAGCGAATCGGCAGCGGTTGCTTCGCATGGAAACCCCTCTGTTTGTACCGGTGCAAAACTGCCGCTGCTATAAGCTAGCTTTATCGTAAGAGATAAGTCGGAGGGCCTGTTTTGGACAGGGATGTCACGAGCCAAAGGCCACCATGCCAAGCTACTCGTACAGTCGTAGTACTAGCTTGTCATTTCATTTCGCTGAGGTGGGGCTAGGGCCTAGGGCGTTTACAATTGCTTCTCGCCCTGTTTGTTTGAGTTTGTTTGGTTTATAAACCATGACTAAAAGTACTGTTGATTGATTTGATGTGAAAAAAAAATACTATTCATTGGCTGATAAATCATAATTTATAAGCTCAAATACGACCCAACGAACAGGCTGTCTTTCTGTGGCCCCATCGCCACTGCTCTATGCAGTGAGGTTTTGGGTTGGGATATGGGACTGCAGACCATTGCCTTTTCGTTGTCGATCTTGGATTGGTGGAAACACGCTAAATAGCATGGCTATCAACTAGTGGGTTTGCATTCTCCTGGTTTTCCTTTTGGAACAAGATGCGACTACATGCCAAGAATTTATGTTAGTCTACTAAGAATATCTTCCAATGAGCGAATATGAGGGGTAAAATGCTACAATCTTAGACTATGTTTGTTACAGAGATTAGGATAATCAAACATACTCTATACTTGCACTCTCACGATGTGTTTCACGACTCCAGTTTCACCATCTTGCCTTAGAGATCCGTCGAACGGCCATCTAAAAAATGACTCTTTGCAGGGAGCCTGAATGAGCCGAAGCCATTTTTGTAACGAGGAGTTGAAGCCACGAAACACATGGCTTCCTCCTTGTTTCTTCTCATAAACTTAACACAAATTATTACTAATTTATCATTAGAGTCATTTTGCCAAAAGGTTTTCAAAATAGTTTCATCTCCACCAGATAAGCCACTCCACGAGTAGAGCCAAAAGCCACATCCTAAGAGGACTGCCAAACTGGCCCTATAAGCGCCGTCAACTTAGAAACTAGGATGATTTCTATGTTGATTAATTAGGATGCCAACTAAGCAAAATGGTGATGTGATATTGGAATTAATAAAGAAGAAAAAATATGAAATTGTTTCTTAAATAAAAAAATGATTATATGAGAACCAAGATATGCAGAGATATGATATGTAGATGATGAAGAGAGAAAATATAATTTTTATATAATTTAGCAAATATAGAAATATCCCATCTTCTGCATTGCCCTCGAGATTGTTGCTATACTCCGTATATGGCTATCTGTTTGCTTGAGCTTATTCAGAACTACTTTTTAGCCATGAAATAATATTTTCATCTCACAACATTTCAGCATAAGTATCAGCATAAACTAAATTTTAGCATCAGCGAAGGGGGTGATGATCATTGAGCTCTTCCAATTTCCAAACTTCGGGGGTGTTTTGTTCTTTAGTCGCTCATAAAATTTATGTCACATCGAATGTTTAGATACTAATAAGGAGCATTAAACATAGATTAATTACAAAATCAATTATATAGATGGAGGCTAATTTGATAGATGAATTTTAAGCCTAATTAATTCGTCATCAGCACATGTTTACTGTAGCACCACATTGTCAAATCATGGACTAATTAGGCTTAAAAGATTTGTCTCGCAAATTAGTCGCAAGTTGTGCAATTAGTTTTATAATTAGTCTATATTTAATACTTCATGCATATGTCCAAACATTCAATGTGACAAGAATTTTAGGAGCTCCTGTAAAAACCAAACAGGCCCTTCCACTCCTTTTACACCAGTTCCGGCCTTTTATCTTCTACTAGGTAGCGTGCCCGTGTGTTGCTATGGGACAACTAAATCTTTTGTACTAAAAACACACGGATCGCACGATAAGATAACAATACTGTTAAATTAAATACCGACATCAAAGTGATATTTAATTTAAAAAGCAAAATTCGTGAAATTAACACAATCACGGAGAGCGCGACGTCGTAGGCTCACAAACTCTAGTGTATAGACTTTTTTGTGATACGGCTAAGATAATATTTTATATCGACAGAAACAATTCTACGATATCCAATTCTTTCATGCGTCAATAAATCCACAAATAAGTTCCACTGTATCTCCATATAATCATGTGCACACAGGTTCAAGTATATATGTAAATAGGTTCGTACCCGAGCGTTGCTACGGGACAACTAAACTTTTGTACTAAAAGCACACGGATCGCACGATAAGATAATAATACTGTAAAAGTATATGACCGACGTTAAAGTGACATTTAATCCAAAAAGCTAAGTTCGTGAAATTTACACAGTCACAGAGAGCATGGCGTCGTAGGCTCATAAACTCTACTGTGTAGATATTTTCGTGATGCGGCTAAGATCATTTTTATACCGACAGGAAGAGATTTCCGATATTCATTTCTTTCGTGCGCTAACAAATCCACGAATAAGTTTCACCACATCTCCATACGATCATGTACACGGCGCTGGCAAGCGAATTAGTCAAAACTTATGTAATTAGTTTTATAATTAGCTCATGTTTCATCCTCTTAATTGATATCTAAAAATTCAATATGACATGGACTAAAGTTTAGTCCTGGGATCCAAACACCCCCTAACTCTTGACTCCTGCTGGTTGCTCACTTGCACCACCATGCCTATGTGTCTGCACGTATATACTCTAATGCTATAACGTCTAAGATGGTCTTTAAGGTTGCTATTTGTGTATGCTGTAGGATTGAGATGCTTTGCACTGATCCATGAGGGTGTCCATGAGAATCAAAATTTTTTATGCCATTATGATGTCTAAGCTTACCATCAGACATAGACGAACTTGATTGTTAAAATATTTTCAACACTGCTTTTATATACTCCCTCTGTACCAAAATAGAATTTATTCTCACTTCCCGAGAAATCAATTTTTTTTTAACTTCGATCAATTATAATACAGGTATTTTTTACATGCATGTGGCATCAGGAGTCGACCAATTGATTATTAAATGTTGCACATATTTTTTACAAACCTAATCAAAGTTGAGAAAGTTTGACCTGCACACATTCTATAACAACTTATATTTTGGGGTAGAGAAAGTATATGCTAATGGGAGTAGTCAACTAGAAGTCGTGATGAACACAATAATAATTTTATATTATATGCTAATTGGAGCACGAAGAAACGCAGGGGAATTGACCTATATACGAATGGTGGGAATATTCGTTTAGGAAATTGCAGAAGGTTCACCAGTCTCACCATGTATAACCTACACATCTTTTATTTGGCACCACTGATGTTCTCAAGGAGCGACCACTTTTTAATTTCAGGTCTGCATGTTGGAAACACTAAAATTAAGGGCCAACCTCATTGAGTCGTCTTGCTTGATCTTTGCCAATTGTTTCCTTCTATGTATGATTATTGTTTCCTTTCATGCATATGGCATCAGGTGATCGATTTGTTTTCTTCAAAACAGGCGGGAATCGTAGGGATGATAGTTTCTTTTTCTATCGCGCGGGGTATTGCATGGCCGGAAGGGAGGAGTCTTGCTTGATCTTTGCCAATTGTTTCCTTCTATGTATGATTATTGTTTCATTCCATACATGTGGGCTCAGGTGATCGATTTGGTTTCTTCAAAGCAGACGTGGATCGCAGGATGACAATTTCTTTTTCTATTGCGCGGGGTATCGTATGACCGGAAGGGAGGAGCGACAAAAAAAAAGTCGCACAAAAAAACAAAAAGTCTTACTTTTAATCTTTTTAGTTGCAGAAGATGGCAAGGGGCAAGGGCCCACCACGCGATCACCACCGCACGCAACCCATCGGGATCCTCCCAGCACGACTCTCAGAACAAAATCGACGGCGCTGCATCTCTCTCCAACCCCATCCTATTCCTGAACCTCTGGACCCACCATCTCGTCACCGTTTAAAATGTTACGTGCACATTGACCGACTCCCCCCACAAGTCTCCCTCCCTCCGCACTCGCCATCTCCGCCAGAAACTCGCACTCTCGTCGGCGAGCCGCGAGCGGCGCAAAAGAAGGTGCGATCTCTTGCTCCTGCTCCCCACTTCCCGTCTCCGCTTCCCGCCGGCTCGCCGTCGAGCGCACGTGGTAGAGCAATCTTGTCTCCTCCTCTTCGTGGTGCGTGCGATCGTTGCCTTCGCGTGCTGCTGCAGATTGTTAGGTTGCCCCTTCTTTTGCCTCTGTGGTTTTATTGCGGAGTTCCAGGCTTCTTCCGCACTTCCCGGCTGCGTGAGGATGGTTGATTTATTGGTAATGCTTCGTTGTTTTGTGGAGGTTTACTGGGCTGATGGAAGGGTTTTGGGGAGGTTTAAGTGGGGGTGGCAGTTGGAGAGTTGCTAATAATAGATGCGATGACCTTTCTCGTTTTTTTAATTTTTTTTGTTTATTTCTGAGTTGGAATTAAAGCGATGTGAAGTTGGGGTTAATGCTCGTGTCCTATGATGATTGATGATCGTTTTTTTTGTGAAAGTTTTCATGCTGTCAACGAAATTTGTTTTCCTGATCTGTTCATGATTTTACCTGACTGGCGTCTGTTTGTTAATGCTTGCTAAGAGGGACGTTTCATGTTTCATTTCTAGTCATGTTTCTGCTACTGCATTGCCGTACAATGCCGTGATTTAGGCTCATCGAGGGAGAAATGAGATGCTTTTATTTTTTACATTATAACTCTGTATGAATCAAGGTATCAAATCAGATGCTCCATTATTAAAAAAAGATCGATTCCTAGTATAATAAAATTCCGGTGAACTAGTGAGGGTTGAGTGATTTGTGCGATCTTTCTCCTCTTTTATATGCTCTTTTTTTTTGCTTCTTTTTTGTTTAAAATGTAACAGTAATAAGAGAAAAATGTGTGTGTCTGCCTTTATATCTCGAGCTTTGTATCCTTCCTAATGACTAATTGACTTTGTTACGATATTGTTGTTGTAGTTGTGATATGCACCATGGTTGGCAGAACTATTCAGGTCCATGGATTTGATCTAACTGATAGTGCGGAGTCTGTCAAAGATATTTTGGAGAGAATTGCTGGCACCGGAACCATCTGTGCTGTCAAGCTCAGGCCTCCAAGGAACATCTCTGCCAACTCAAGGGCGTTTGCTATAGTTCAGTTCCAAACACAGGAAAGTGTTTCATTGGTAGAAGATGCGGCTCGAAGAAATGCTCTCCGGATTGGACGATTTTATCTGAAAGCCAGACCTGCAGAGCGGGACATTATTCCAAGACCAAGAATTCCAATGTTTTCTCTGGAGGACACTGTGCTGCATTTGGGATGTTTGGTTAAGGAAAATATTCTATCTGCTTTTTTTCGTGCAAGTAATGTTTCGGTTCAATTTGGATTTGATATGAAAAAGATTTACTTCTACCTCTCCTACAACCTTACTAAATATAAACTTGAACTTTCTTACGAAAGTATCTGGGAGATGCAGCTTCAACGTCCACCTGCTTATAGGTCACGGACAAAGTTCCTTTTGATTCAGGTTGGTTTCTCATATAATTTACCCTCCTTGGGCATTTTAGCAGATTTTTTTGATTCTACATTTTTAATCCTCTGAAAGATACAGAAGTAGATGATTTAAGCTACAAGAATGAGTTATTTCTTATCTTATTAGTCTAGTCTTCGCATCTTCCTATTTTATTTGTATAAGTCTATGAATTGTACACCTTTTCATTCCGGCTACCTTTTCCTTTTCATGGCTATATCCTTTCAAGTATACAGTACACTGTCAATCCAGTCACACAAGATTTCTTAATCATCTGAAAGATAAATTAATTGATGTAAACATTATTGACTACAAGAACGAGTTCTTTCTTATGTTTTTCTTGTCGTCGCATGTTCCTATTTTCTTTGTACTATTGACTTCTTGTTATGAATTGTATGCCTTTTCATTTAGGCAACCTTTTTTATATCCTTTCTAGCACAGAGGAAGGTTGAGTCAGATGATTCTGTTAAATGAATTTTAGCATATTTTTTAGTTTTGGTGTAATGGAAATGATGTAGTTAATAAGCCCTGCTTCCTAAGCAATTCCTAGATAACTATGCTAGTTAATTACAGTCATTAAAGACCTTGGGCAGCCCAAGAGGTGTGTACGGCTGCCAAGGCACCTTAGCTATGCTCTAGTGAGCTATTTGTAATCAATGCAATGTCTATCTCTATATATAATCAAGGAGACAGCCTGGGGTGTGTGGCTGTTCAGGCTAATCAAGTCTGTGTTACCTCCAACAAATGACATGTGTTGGGTATAAATAATTTCTTATGTTTCCTGAAAATTCAGTATACCCATCCAAGATCCACCAGTTGCCAGTTACTAATATTTTCAGTTACTTAGAAATGTTGCTATTTGCTAGAGTCTTTTGAGCTTTAGAGTTCATATAGACTAAAAAAACATGTCATGTTTCAGGTTCAGGCAGCTCCTAAAATTTATGAACCGCTCCCACGCCGTCCAGGTATTATGTTTGAGGATCCTTTCTTCAACTGGTTGAGGGATGACACAGATGAACAATGGACCAGGACGATTGACTTTACTCCATCAGCTAGCATCGGGCAATCATCTATTTTCTGTCTGGAGGTGCCACAACAATGTGAGCTCCCAAGAATTGGCGACTATTTTGTTTACTATAAAGAGCAAAATCTTGACTTTGAATGTCGGAATGGGTATTCATATTCCTGTGGTACCTGCCTTGTTCCAATTGTGAAATCTCCTGATTACATAGAGGTCCCTTATGAGATACTCTTCAAAATCAACCATTTGGTTCAGAATGGGACACTCAGTGGGCCAACAGTTGATCACTGTTTCTTCTATCATGTTAGCCCAAAATTTGAACCTATTGATCATATAAAGCGGGCACTTTTAAAGATGTCATATTTGAAAAGCACCTGCTTGAATCCAACAAATTGGTTATCTGTACAATATTCAAGAATACGGAAATCACGCCATGCATCCCAAAGATCATCTAATATATCTCTGGATGATGGCTTGGTCTATGTCCACAGGGTGCAAGTTACCCCTGCTAAAGTGTATTTTTATGGACCTGAGATAAATGTCTCCAATCGTGTTGTGCGGCATTTCTCTGCTGACATAGATAACTTCCTTCGGATTTCATTTGTTGATGAGGACTGTGAGAAGCTCCGTTCAGTTGATTTGTCACCTCGTTCTACTTCTGGAAATGATGCAAGGAGAACTGCTCTGTATAATAGAGTTTTGTCAGTCCTTTCAAATGGCATCAATATTGGTGACAAGCACTTTGAGTTTCTTGCCTTCTCTTCAAGCCAGCTTCGAGATAACTCTGCATGGATGTTTGCTTCTCGGCAGGGATTGACTGCAAGTGACATAAGGAAGTGGATGGGGGACTTTCGAGATATCAGAAATGTGGCAAAGTATGCTGCAAGACTTGGGCAATCTTTTAGTTCCTCAACAGAAACTTTAAAAGTATACAAGTATGAGGTGGAACAAATTCCTGATATTACAAATGGCACAGAATACATATTCTCTGATGGAGTTGGAAAGATCTCAGCTAATTTTGCAATGGAGGTGGCTATGAAGTGCAAATTGAAACGCTTTGCTCCATCTGTTTTTCAGATAAGGTATGGTGGTTACAAAGGTGTTGTAGCTGTAGATCCGAGATCAAACCGTAAGCTTTCTTTGAGAAAAAGCATGTCAAAGTTCCAGTCAGAAAATATCACTCTTGATGTCCTTGCATACAGCAAGTACCAACCGTGCTTCCTGAATCGGCAGTTGATTACTCTTCTCTCAACACTTGGGGTTGGCGATAGTGTCTTTGAACTAAAGCAGAAGGAAGTCGTAAGGCAGTTGAACAGAATGGTAACTGAACCACAGGCTGCTCGTGAAGCGGTTGAACTTATGCCCATGGGAGAAGTAACCAATGTAGTTAAAGAATTGTTATCATGTGGCTACCAGCCTGATCATGAGCCGTATCTTTCCATGCTGCTACAAACTTTTAGAGCATCCAAGCTTCTAGAATTGAAAACAAAGTCAAGGATATTCATCCCACAAGGGCGAGCAATGATGGGTTGCCTGGATGAAACCCGCACACTAAAGTATGGCCAGGTATTCATCCAAGCTTCTTACTGTGCAGATGACCATCGCAAGTTCGTTGTAACTGAAAAAGTAGTTGTTGCCAAAAATCCTTGTCTCCACCCTGGTGACATACGGGTTCTCCAGGCTGTTGATATTCCTGCTCTGCACCACTTGTTTGACTGTGTTGTCTTTCCACAACAGGGACCAAGGCAAGTATTTAACAATATATTGCCATATGTTTTCTAGTAAATTTCAACAAGATCTTTTCTTGGAACATGTAATTTCTTGGTTTGATATGTCAAATGGAAATCCGTTGTCCATTTTGCCTTATGTGATGCTAATCCTTTTATTGTGACCTTTCATCTCTAAACCAGTTTCAAATTCTGGTATTCATGAATGCAGGCCGCACCCTAATGAGTGTTCAGGGAGTGATCTTGATGGGGACATATATTTTGTTTCTTGGGATTCACATCTTATTCCAAGTCGTTTGGTGGATCCTATGGACTATACTCCAGCTCCAGCAGAAACATTAGATCATGATGTTACTATTGAGGTATTTTCTAATTGAAACAGACAAACAGTTCATCTTCCATGCCATTGATGCTAACAGTTATTCTGTTGGCATCAATGCTGTCATTAAGTTTGTGTTGGTCTATGCGTTGTTTTCTCATTGGCTTGATTCTCGTTTTTCTGAACAACGAAGTATAAAGTTGTATTTCTCGTAGTGGCAGCAGTTATATGTGAATTAAACAGATAGAATCATCTTCAACTTATGAACAAATCTCATACCATGCTTTGAAATGATCAATCTTGTTATTTTGTGCAGGAAATAGAGGAGTACTTCACAAACTACATAGTTAATGAGAGTCTTGGGATTATCGCCAATGCGCATGTGGTCTTTGCAGATAAGGAATGTCTGAAGGCTGAAAGTCCATCGTGCATTCAACTGGCCAAGCTCTTCTCTATAGCTGTTGATTTCCCAAAGACTGGAGTGCCGGCTCTGATTCCACCTGAGCTACATGTCAAGGAGTATCCTGATTTTATGGAGAAGCTCGACAAGGTCACCTATGTATCAGAGGGTGTGATCGGGAAGCTCTACAGGGAAATAAAGAAGCACACACCTCACATAAAGCACTTTACGAGGGAAGTGGCAAGGCGTTCTTATGACACTGATTTGATCGTTGATGGCTATGAAGATTACATTAATGAGGCTATAGAGTTCAAGGAAGAGTACGATTTCAGGTTGGGTAATCTTATGGACCACTATGGCATAAAAAGTGAAGCTGAGATAATAAGTGGATGTATTCTAAAGATGGCAAAGAATTTCACCAAGAGTAGTGATGCTGATGCAATTAGAATGGCAGTGAGATCTTTGAGGAAAGAAGCTAGGTCATGGTTCAATGAGATGAGCATAGGCGAGGATGGCCAAGATGCCATAGAGGCCAAGGCCTCTGCTTGGTACCATGTTACTTATCATCCACAGTACTGGGGCAGCTACAATGAAGGATATGATCGGCCGCATCTTATTAGCTTCCCATGGTGCGTATATGACAAGCTTTTGACCATCAAGCAGAGGAATTTCTTCACGCAGATGGATCCTAATCTGGTGTCTCTCATGAATAACATGAATCAAAACTTGACATTGCATTGAGCATTGCCAGTAGGTTTGCTTTTGTACATATCCTTGATCGTTTGCAATCAGCACTGCCAGCAAGTGTGCATGAATGATCTGATGAATTAAGACAGGCAAACTGCCACAAGCTGACGTCTGGCGTACGTGCGTCGTAAAACTTTCTGATGCTGCTGTTTAACTAAATGCATTACCACGATTCACTGGAACCTTGAGTTATTGAAGTGTGTAAATTTTCTATCTTTTGCTTAGTACGAGTACCCAGAAATATGCTGCTTATGGTGTTTTTAATATTGGACCTCTATCATGGGGGCATCTGCCGTTCCCGTCGGTCCAGTAACAACAGTGTATGTGTATCTGTGCTCTCTGGTTTCTGCAACATTGTTTGGTTGGCAGTTATGCCATTCATCCTGTTCACTGTTCAGTTATGGATTTACAAGGTTGGCGCTGAGCTGCTGTCTCCCTTGCCTAGTTGCATTGATGCATTCACCTATGTTTTTTTTTTCCAAAAACGCATTCGCCTTGCACCAGCATTCATTGGCACTCCAACGAGAATGGAAACATGAAAGAATGATCGGAAACAGAAGTGTAAACAAGACGTTAGTTTTGAGCATCAGAAAGCTGTACAACTCTGGATGAAATGAAAGACTTGTCAGGAAGCCGGGGCAAGCAGGGAAAACTTGACGTGCAGCGAGATCCTCCCGTTGTCGACGTCGAGCCTTGCACCGGTGACGAGCCAGTACCCGGGGCTGTCCTGGGGCCCCATGGTCACCTGCGAGGTGTCCACGAGCCTGAGCATCTTCTGCGCGGCGACCGGCACAGGCGGCCCGCCGGCGAGCACGCCGGAGTTGATGTTGACGACGCCCTCCGGCGGCTTACCCGGCTGCTGTCTCTCCTTCTGCGATCCGCCACTGCCACTGCCACGACCGGAAGACCCCGCGGAGGAGGCGCCCGACAGGAAGCTGCTGGACTTCCCGGACAGCCTCGCCGCGCCATGCGCCCACCTGGACTGCACGACGGAGCAGCCGGGGAGCTCCGCGTAGAGGAGCCTGAGGTGCAGCACGTCGGTGGCGTCGTGCGCCGCGACGTGGAGCTGCGCGCCCGTGACGACGCAGGCCGCGCTCCGGTCGAGGTCGCGGTCGCGGTCGCCGGCGCCGGCGCCGCGCCACCCTGTGTCGTACTTGACCGGCGCGGTGCACACGCGCGCGAACATCCGCCACTGGACCGGCTTGTAGTACCTGTCGTCGGAGCCGGAGGCAGCGTCCGAACCTCGCCACACCGGAGGTTTGTCGTGCCGCGCGGCGGCGATGAACGTCGGGGTGGTCGATAGGTGCTGCAGGTGGACGGCTAACCTGATGCACAAGCACGGACGCAATGTAAGCAAGTCGCGAAAGGCGAGGGGCGCGGAAGAGGATATTCTATCCGCCGCGACGGCGCGACGAGGCGGCCCTCGCCGTCGCCGGGGGAAAGGAATCGCCACGAGGGAAGGGGCCCGACCGCGCGAAGCCGCGAAGCATACCAGGCGCTCGAGGGTCCATTTGGGAAATAAATATGGGGTTTATTAAAATATTTGGATCACGATCAACTTAGGAGAATGTATGGAAATAGTTTGATTGTGTGCCATTGTGGTTGATAACCTCGATCAATATTTGGGGTATCGATTGGCACAATTTATTTGAAGGAGTTATAAGTAAAGAATATTTGATTCATGTCCAAACGGGAAGGTATATGTAATTTTTTTTTGACCACATACCCAGTGGTGTAGGTATATGTAATTTTTTGACCACATACCCAGTGGTGTATGCCCTGTTTAGACCTGAGCATTTTATGGGCCGGGTCAGGTTCGAGTCGGGCTGAAAAAAAGACGGGTTATTTCGGGCCGAAAAAGTCCTGCCCATGAAACTGGGTAGCTCGGGGCCGGGCCTAAGTGGGCTGCCCGCGCATTCTTTAGTGTAAAATAGCAAAAAAAAAACAGTATTTTGGACCGGTCTCGGGCTAATTTTTTTTCTGGGCAGCGGCATCTGTGCCCAGGCCCTGTCCAGTAAGGTTCGTGGGTGGGCTAAAACCCATCGGGCTCGGTCCGGGCTCAATTTGCTTAGGTCTAGCCCTGTTTGGATGCGAACTTGCCCACCGCGCGGTACGTAAAATCGAAGTCCCGGTTGAAGCTCGCGGCGGACGAGTCACAGGCGGTAGAAATAAATCGTCTGCACTGTGAACTATTTATCGTGATTCTGCGCAATTCTCATGGCCACCCACCGGTAATCGAACTATAAATAATCGTATCCAAACAAGGCCTATCTACGTATATGTAAATTCATAGAAGAGAGGGTCTAAATCATCTTCAACCTCTAGAGTCTTACCTTTTTCACATTTCTCTCTTCCGTGTCTATAAAACAATATGAGAGGCTAAAGAAGGGGGCTTGAGCCCCCTCCTCACCCAACACTAGATTTGTCCCTGCCACATATCACAATCAACTTCGGAACACATCTTTGTAGTTACTTTCGATTGGGTGGTAATGGAACCGCCACAACCCACTTTAACGATGGGCTCACCCTTAGGTCTACTGGTCTTACATATTGTTCGCATCGCTTTATCGTTGTGATGGACTACTTACTACTATATGAACTATTTTTTAGTTGCCATCATGAATTTATTTCTCGAGGTGGTTCTTCAACCATAACTACCCAAGGGTATGAACAAATAAGGCATATGGAGGGACAATTAGCAGTTTTTACAACCACCTCTAATCAAAAGATATGTAGAAGTAAGATGGATTTGCGGGGTGTTCTTTTTAAGGTCAAAGGTGATCGGCCTTATGGTCCGCTATTAAAAATGCTTTCTAGAAATCACACAGAAAAATGAACATTTTCATGCCCAAACGATTATCACACGGTCCTAAGTCACAAGCAAAACATTTTGATCTTTATGCACATGAGTTCTCAAAGATTCAAATTGGTTGACCTCAAGCCTCACACGAAGCTTCCTTACTACCACACCATGTAGTCCACTTATGACTCTCAGATGCTATTATTTTGTTTCCTTTTTTTTTAAATTTACCCCCTAAATAATCTCAAATAAAAAATTGCTAACTAGAATTTTTTTAGATCTCTAGTGTCTCTCCATCCATGTCCGGTTGATAAAGTCAAATATTTTAATTTAAAATTTTTAGAACTTATAATGAATATTTGGGCTCCTGAACGATCTCAAACAAAAAATTATCAACTACACAGTTCTAAATCTTACCAAGCTCTATAATTTTAATATAAAGTTTGTCTTCATCAACTTCAATTGAAAAAGTTGTTTGCATGAAGCTATTTGAGACTAAGCATTGTCCATAAAAATCATTCTTTATGGACGGTTCATATGGTGAATGCCCTTCTCCTATTTTTAGGTATGGTTCACCTTCACAACCTTGCGTAGAAAAATGAGTGCGTCTATATAAATCGTTTTGCGGCAACATATAAGGTGGCCATGTTTCTTCTCCATAATCCCCAATCTTGGAACATATAAGTCGTTGTTTTTTCAGTGGTAGATAAGACCGTCGATAGGCAGATGCCTGTGCTGACTTCATCAATTTTGAGATTTGCTCAAAAGCACTTATAGAGATATAGTGTGTGCATATGTTCATATGGATGAATGTATGTTCTTATATGAGTGTGATTCGTAAAAAAAATTCTCACAATTTAAAAACATTTCCAAAGTACCGTGTCATGTTCTCACCCCATCGATCCAGACCATGGCTGCTAAGCACATACTCCCTCCGTTCCTAAATTACTGTCGTTTTTGTTTCCATGCCATAAGTTTGACTAGATTTGTAGAAACTGCGTGCAACATTTGTATCTCTAAATAAATTTATTATAAAAATAGATTCAACGATCTATGTAATGATATTAATTTTGTATCATAATAATAATAATAATATAGTCAAAGTTGTTTCTCGGGGAGCGAAAATAACAGTTATTTAGTGACGGAGGAAGTAAGCATCCATCTTTTTTTTTAATAACGAAGCTCCCTGCACTCCAACTCTTCCAAGCCTCGGTGGCCAGTGGCCACCCAACCACCGGCAGAGGCACTCGCAAACTAGCAGGGATTTCTCCCCTCCCATAATCCTGTTTATACCATGACTTGGGTGTGGTGTGGTCGTGTGGACTTGTGGAGACGACGACAGATTCACGATTCAAATCTCCAGTCACTCTGTCTCTCTGAGTAAATATTAAAATTCAAGTACTGTAGTATTTCTGCGGTCAGCAAACCAGTCTTACCGGTTGTGTTTCTTGCCCTCCAGGTGCAGCCGCATCCCAGTGACTGGCAATCGAGGGGCAATCACCTGTATTTATTTTGTCAGCAATCTGTCATTTCTGAAAGAAACAAGTGGTACTAGCATTTGGGTACAGAGATTCTTCCTCACCTGACTTGGGCTGACATAGAGCTTAGAACTCAACGGGCTGAAATGAAGCGCCGGGCTGGAGCCCTGCCGGTTGGAGCATGGGCCGAGCGGCAGCTCGCCGAACACCGGCGCCCACATCTTGTGATGCTGGAAATCCAGGAAGTACTTGAGGTCAGCTACAGGAGGCTTATCTGTAAGTAACAATCATTCTGCTTGTTACCATGTATATATATTGCCTGCTTATGACAAAACTACATCAAGTACTACAAGTACTCCGTACTTAACCGATGGTCGTTTAATTAATTGTCTTAGCCAAATGCGTGTAACAATAATGCCGTTCTTAATTACTCACATCTGAGGTAGAGGTTGATGGCGTGAGAAAGGTAGCCGGCGCCAGGCACGCCCTTGACGAGGGAGGTGATGGGCACAGCCTTGATGTTGATCACGTCGGGCGTCGCCAGCACGGTGAGCAGCCATTCAGAGTGGCTGCCCACTGTCGTGTTGCCTCCCCTCTTGGAGTATATGACCGTCACGCCCTGAACAAGAAAGAAAACCTCAGTAAGATTAATTCAGAGTGCTCGGAGGGAGTTGATCACGAGATGATAGTAACACTTGTTACCAACCTCTTTGGAGGAGACCAGCGTGGTGATCCCTGCTTGAAGCCGCTGCTGCGCTACCTGGGCGTCGAACACGTTGAAGGCCTCTGGCATCTGTCACCATTTCATTATTTCAGTGTATCCGTCGATTTTCATTTCAGCATAAAGTTTCATCTTTTTTTTTTAAGTGCTTCGGAATTCTACAGCTGTAGCTAGTTTTAACCTTGAGCCTGTCTTTGGACTTGCAGCGGAGGGGAGGCATGGCACAGGCGCCGGTGAAGAGCTGGTCGCCGAGCCTGTCGAGATGCTCCTTGATCTCCGACGGCGGCAGCGCCGACGACCCGTCCTGCTTCACGTACACCACGTCCTGGCCGCCCATGCTCAGCCCCACCACCACATGCGTCCCGTACTTCTCGATGAACCTGCACGCCCAGCCGTCCACCGGATCGATCGGATCAAGTCAGCAACGTACTAACGTCAATCAGATAAGTGTCAGTGTCAGTTGAGAGTATGAAAGCTACGCGTCTGCCTGATAATACAATTCAGGATCGACGGGAGTTCAGACTAGTTCAGATTCAACAATGACGGACGAGCTAAACAAATGCAAGGGAAGGAAAGGGAAGGAAAAAAGTGTGTGGACAGATCAGAACACGGCGCATATGATATCCAATCAGCTGTCCGGAGGCTAAAGCAATCAGAGGCAGTGAGGATTCCCTGTCCCAGTTCGTTGCAGCGGATCTTGGACATCTCAACTTCTTGGTGCTTGCGGTTAATTACTGACTCGCTCAACTTCTCCAGATCAGTCCAGACCTGGAACGAGTCCAGGACTCCTCCAAGTCCTGCGAGTGCTCTGCCTCTCTCTCGCTTTGCAGTTGTAGCGTGGTCGGAAGGTTTTGGAAAGGCGAAGACACTTGTTACTCAAGGGGCCAGAGAAGTCAACGTCGTCGTTCCGCAGGCATCCAGAGCCTTTTTTCAAGCTCTGTCCATGTCCGCACCACACGGCACAGCTCTGTCCTTGGCGTACTCGCATGGTGACGCCCTGACGCCAACGTTCCAGGACACCCGGCACCGCGAGAGCTGCCGCCGCCGCTGCCGCCTCCGTGCATTGTGATTTGTGAACAGGGTTCCGTGGTTGGATTCTCCCGGAACAGAGAAGTCTCGATCGGTTCGGGAGTTTTATCCTGTTTTTGGTGTGAACTTACTATTGGTTTGGTAGTGATGCCGCGTCCTTGCCTGTTGTCGGAATAATGCATGCCCAGCATGAAGTTACTGCCGTCCCGTCGCAGCAGAACAGGACTATTTCAGCCGGCAAGCTTGCCATTGCCACTCACATTCTCCTTTTCGTGATATGATATTTCCGTACCGTCTCGTGGACTAAAAATATGAGGCTCCGTCGTGAAAACTCCAAGGACTACGCACAAAGAAAGAGCTCACAGAAAACTGCGGTGATTACTTTGCCGCGGCGGCGTTAATTCCTTGTAGCGTTATACGAAACGAACGAACGAACGAACCTGGCGATGGCGGCGGGGTCCCAGGCGGCCGGGACGTCGCGGCGGACGTGGTCGGCGAGCGCGAGCGGGCGGCGGTCCAGGCGGAGGTCGAAGAGGGAGATGAAGTAGCCGTCCATTGCGAGGCACTTGGTGGCGGCCGCGTCCTGCGCCCAGGAGCCGCTGTCCAGGTCGAAGCAGGCGTTGAACAGCCCCGACGGGATCTTCCCCTCCACCGAGCTCCGCTGGTTGAACAGCTCCGACATCTGAATACACACACCGTAGCAGCATGCATGCATGCCTCGAGATCAGTGATTTTCCCCCCCTTGGAGAAGTCCACGAGCATTTTCTTTGTTATATTTAGATTTTACTCATATTTATATCTTCTGCGATCCTACTTGCATTGAACTAGTGTGCTCTTGATGCAAGCAGGAGGAATCAGCAGGAAGATAAACTGCACGATCTCTACAGCTCTCGATCTTGGGTCAAAGTCAAACGAGGCACCGTCCAATTCGACGTGCAATAGTTTATATAAATGGAGGAGGACTACTAACTTACACGAAATTTGATTCGATCACGGATAGTTTACGATCAGGACCACTTGGCCCAGATGTTTTCAAATATAAGAAGATTATGTTTGACTCTCCCATAATATTAAGATATGTTTTTCTCTTTCTGGTTGGTAATATGCCACTGATCTGCAGCATACTTGACGTACGGTTGGCATGGACAGTTCACAGTTGCACAAAAACATTTTTAGATAACGGAACGAGGTTCCAAGTTGCACCAAAATATGGGGAAAAATGTTTATTCTTCATCCAAATTCCTCAAGATAAGATTTAAGATATGTTGTTGATTGCTTATGTACGCGTGAGACCACGTAGTTTTTCTCTCACACAGACCACAATATTGTTTTGTGCTACCATGTTGAAATTGATACTTTCTACATTTTGGTGAAATAAATTGTCATCTGAATTCTGTAAAAGAAGAATTAGCTCTCATCATATAGTTTATATATCCTGTATTGGCTTTCTGTTTAAACTGGGTTATTCCTTTTTTTAAAAAAAATAGTTTATATACCTTGTATTCGGGCTATAAAAAAATGAAGTTTCTATAGCTTAAAGGGAGAAATGAGATTCAGGGCTTAGAACTGAAGTCTGAAGATAGCCACAGACAAATTAAAGACAATGCAGACTCAACCAAAGTTTCAAAGCAAATAGATTATAATTGAACAGCAAATTGAACTCCTTGATTAGATTCACAATGAACTTATACACATTTCAATTTTATTTCTTATTTTGAAAAGTTCTCCCTACAATTTGTACATACATGACCATGAGCAAATCTTAATTTCCCGACCTTCAAAAAATCTTAATTTCCCAAAAAATAAGCTGAAATAGGATAAGTAATAATCTGATGATGGCAAGCTTTTCATGCATGGTGGTTCGTATCGCTAACCTTGTTGAACTCGAGCACGCCGGACTTGAGCCGGACACGGTCGCCCTTGCCGCACTTAACGTCGACGGGCACGCCGCCGATGGTCCCGACGCCGGGCACGGCGAGCGGCGCCGTCTCGACGCCGCTCCTCTCGACGAGGCACCCGCCTGCGTCCTTGCAGTACTTGAGCCTCATGTCGCACGTCATGTCGAAGCCCCGGCCGAGGCACCTCACGGCCTTCTCAGCCGCCGCCACGGCCATCTCTCGCGCGACTTTGCCGGGCCGGTACGGTCGACCTCTCTGCCCGGCCTGGTATGCTATATATGCTATGCCGCCGCAGCCATGTCCTGTTGGTAGTAGGCTGCTACTAGTAGTTGACTATATATACAATTGCTTGTGCCAAGAAGCATCATGCTGTCGTAGAAATAGAAACTCAACTGTACTTGTGGCTATTACATGCTGTGTGGATGTCAAGGATTTGTTCTTGCTGTCAAACTACTGGGATCTCTCTCTCTCTCTCTCTCTCTCATCAAACAAGGATGTTTCTTGTGTTTCCCCTACTTTTTTGGTGGTTGAAAGAATGAGGTTGCTGATTCTTGTTGTGTCAATCATGGGTCATGAGTGAGTAGTGGTTGTTATATATATGGGCAGAGAAATGGGTATGGAGAGAGACATGAGTGGCGATGCTAGTGGGAACTAATGAAGTTCCTCGTGCTTGCAAAAAGGTTAAGTTTGACCGATGGCGTGTTGTGTACCTTAGGACAGTTTTCGATTAAAGCCTTGTTAACCGGCACTTAGAAACCACCATGCTAGGGTTCATGTTCATGGCCTAGTGGCTAGTATGAAATGGGAATTTGTAAAGGAAAGATCCCACTGGCCCCATTTCCGTTTATGAATAGGAAGACACATGGTTGAGCTCAAAGTTCCTACAAACCTCAGCCTGTTCGGTTGGCTGGTTCGTTTCGTTGCTGGTTCGTGAAGAAGTACTGCTGGCTGGTTTGCGTGAGAGAAAAATATTATTCCGGCTGAAAATTTACGATCGTTTACAGACAAGCCACAGCCAAACGAACAGGCTGCTTGAACCTTCTGAAATGAGCACGCACTTCCAGATACTGATGTGAACCTGACTTCTTAGAGAAGACTGAATCTTAATACCCGTCCAACAGAGCAACACCGTGTCGTTAGCAGTAGCAGCATGTTCATCAGCTACGCAACAGCCAACCAAATGCTGCCCTGCCCTGAACGGGATGAGATTTTGGCGAAGACTTGAAGTTGGACCTGACTTGAAGCTGAGGCCAGCATGTCCTCACACATCACTCACCTACAAACTCGAGACCCCCGTGGCCCCGTACGAGATTTAAGTCTCCAAGCTTTACCAGGTCAAGTCCAGTCGTCCAGATATTCCTCAGCTCAGTGCTACAAATTCATGTTCACATGAAAAATATATCGCACAATGTCACCCGTTGTCACGAACTATCAGAAGCTGGAAATGACTTGTGGGTTCATGACTTGTTCTATAGACTGAAGGTCCAATGTTCAGAACCATGTACAGATGAGGATTACATGCTTGGTATATGGCATTCTGGTGCGCGTTTATTAAAAGGATGAAGCAAATGTTTCACACTATCTCTCCTTGAACATGATGTAGTCACAAGTTGAAGCATGGTGGAAGGGATGGCCGGATGGGGGGTGGCAGAAATGCATCAGTTGGATACCATGCTTTCAGTCTCCTTGACGAACCCATCGCCTGTCCAGTCCTTGTCTGATTGAAGGCCCTTCTTGATGGCCTTCCTCTGCTTGATCGCCTCTTGTTGCCGGTGAACCAAATCTGTGTGCGTCGTGAAGTACGGAAGCGAGGCCCTGAGATGATGAGAAGACAGGTTTTAGTTTGTATGATTCAACAAAAAAATAAAAAAAAACAGAAAATAAAGCATGTTTATAAATTTGTAAAGGGGCAGCAGCCCAGGTATTTTCTATAAGTGGTGCGCATATCTAGCACTGAACTAATGATGCTTCTGAGAAACTTCCTGGTGACAACAGAGTAAAACGAGGTCAAGTGTCAAGGAATCAATCATCACACTGTACACAAGACTTTGTTCCACTTCCACATCATTCACACAGAGTAGGGCCAGGCGTGCAAAGAAGGGCACAAGGAATGTTTCTATAGGACGCATACTTAATTAGGACTTGATCGTGACCAAGTCCTCATTTTCATGATTATGTTCAACCCATTTACACCGCACCATTTTATCTTTCTGGAAACAAGTCTTTTCTAAGACTTAGCACGTCTTCGTTAGAGAACTCACCTAGTCACACTCCTTAAGCCTAGATCAATGATAGTCCCAAGCAATCATTTTTTACTCCCTTCATTCCAAACCATAAGTCATTTTGGCTGACGTTTTGGCTTTTCTAGTTATATTGATTCTAGACATAGTGTATATCTAAGTACATAGCAAAAGCTATGTATCTAGAAAAGCGAAAGCGTCTTATAATTTGGAATGAATGGATTAGTTTTTACTATGTACATGTAGGTGCATAGCAAAATATATGTACCTAGAAAAGCCAAAATGATTTATAATTTGGAATGGAGTACTCGGGAAGGCCTTGAGATCTCATGTTAGTGATTTACTGGCAAAGCTTATTATGTTTTTACACTTTAGTAATGTAACGGTCCTTGGAAGACTGGGGCAAAGAGTTGAACTTTGAAAGCTAGAAGTAACATAGAAGATGTATTCTAGAGTAATTCCTCAAGTTGGCTTCAAATGCCATATCAAACACTGCAATCATGGTAGGGGGAGTTGTTGCATACCCTCGAAACTCTTCAATCGATGAAAAGTTGTGCTCTCTCATGAAATCCTGTAATTCAGCACAAAGCTTCTTCACAAGGGGATAACCATGCATCATCACACCGGTGCATACCTGTGGGTTAAGCTTGTTAGTCATGGTTAGACAATTTCCAAGATACGCAAAGTGATAACTGTGAAAGTGATGTTTGGAAAAAAAAACAATACAACTCAGTACAACTATATGTTAAACGAAGACATGGGTATGCACAGTAAAAGGAGTCGCTATATGGCTACCCGGATTAATTAGCAAATATGCTGTTTCACCTGTACTGTATCAGCACCAAGAAGAATAAACTCAGCAGCATCATTGCCAGTCTCCACACCACCAATGGCGGAGAGAGACTGTCCATCAGCAAATTCTTCTTTCATCATCCTTGCTATCTGCATGACTTTAGCAAGTGCTATAGGGTGCACAGCTCTTGCAGAATAACCCCCAGGTGTAGAATACCTGCAAAACACAATGATGTTTCAACTTTGTAACAGATAAATGAACATGTTACAAAAATAACTCAGGGAATTGAATCTAACCCTTCCACGCAAGGTTCCGGCCGCAACGTTTTGAGATTAATCCCCATTACGCTCATAATTGTGTTAATTGCAGAAACTCCTTCACATCCAGATTTAAGAGATATTCTTGCAGGCTGCAAAATGTCAAGTCAAGATAGGGGGAAATGAAATCTAATAAGAGAAGAAAAGAAAGAAAAAGAAAAATGTTACTCAGCAATCTAATGCAAAAAAAAAAAAAACAGTATTACAATTCAGTAAAATACTACAGTACCATTGGGAAACCGGTAAGCCTATTGATGCGAAATTTGTATTCAATAATTGATATGATGTAAGGGGCTCAGGCCATTGTGTAATGTCCAAAAGAAAGATAAGATTATTTCAAGGGAGTATAAGTTAGTTGCTTGCTACATATCTGATTGCATTTACAGAACATGGAGTTAGCTGCTACAGAACTGATTGCATTTACAGAACATGGCCAGATCTCACAACTTGATATCATCCAAACACCATGAAAAGATGCAATGGGAAAAATAGTGCAGATAAAGTACGCTACTTATTTTCAAATCTGACTTATTCTGGTCTTCTGGAGGATCAACAAAAGTTAAATCAGAGACTCAAGCTACTTAAATAATGGAAAATAAGAACAAAGACGTGCAAATAATTTAGAGAGTAAAAACTTAGGAATTCATTAGTTGTTGACACAGGTCAACACAGGTAGTATGAAGTGCTGCATAGATGCTATACTCAACTAACCTGTGTAATGTCTGTAATGTTAGGAGTCATCTTTGCCCAAACAGGGACAGTGGCCTTCTCATTAATCCAACCACAAACTTCCTCTAGCAAATCACAGTCTTGCCCCACAGCAGCACCCATTTTTCTCTCTGGCATGCCATGTGGACATGAGAAATTAATCTCAAGAGCATCCTAACAAAAACAGATATTAGTTGCATTCCATTATGTTCAAGTATATGCAGATGCGCCAATATAAACATGTGAAAGAAAGGTACCACTCCAGACTCTTCAACACGTTCAATAAGCTCATGCCATGCAGCTTTGTTGTACTCCTCCATAATTGAGCCGATGAGTATCCTGTCAGGATACTCTTTCTTCAACTGCTTGAACTCATTCAGCATGGTCTCCAGAGGCCTGTCACTGATGAGTTCAATGTTCTGCCATCCAATGATGCGCCCCATGGCAGCCCCATTTGGCTCTGCCCGAAGCTTTGCATAACGAGGAGTAACGTTGATAACTTTTTCAGCATCCAAAGACACCTAGATGTCATGTCAAAGCAGCAGTAATTAGCCACAATGTTAAGGGAGTAAAGGAACCTATTGGGGATAAAGTGATGACTACACAGGTCCAATGCATAGTGGGACCAACAAAATTAAAGTCATTACTGAGAAGGTCCATTGCAGAACTGCAGACTCTTATATTTACTTGTACTAGTTAGGATATAAACGCTCATCTGAAAACTGGGCTATCCAACTCTATCAGCAGATCAACAACTTAGCACTAGGACAAGTGAGGTTTGCCAATAATGTACAAATGGTCAAACAGGAAAACAAACCCTTAGCCACTAGGATAAGTGATCAACATTACTAGTCCAGTACGGTAAAAATGAACAAAATATTTCCACTGTAGCCAATTCTCTTATGATATGCAGAGATCAGTTTCTTAACCAGTCAAATTGTTGTCAATTCTTACTTGGGTACCCACATAGGATCTGTCCCGAAACCAATGAAAGTAACGTGATCAGCACGTCCATGGTTCCAAGATTCGATTTCACGAACCAAATACATACCACTACAGCCGCTTGTTGGACATCAACGTAAGAGCTAGTAGTTCTCAACAACCTCAAATCGGTCCCCCCACGGCCCCACTGCATCTTCTAAGTTCCAGCCCAAATCTGAATCATGAGACCGAAAGGCAATGGCGTCAACTATTTACGTGATCGAAGTGAATTAACACTCCGCCCACAGATCGTACACAGTGCACCGTAACGACGACGGATTCAGAGAAAAAAATGGGTGCCAACTTTATGGCGCAACCACGCAAGCAAGACCACGGGAGACACCGCCACACCGGTAAGGGGCGAGGGGGAGCGACTCACAGTCTTGGCGATGACGCCGCCCCAGCCCTCGTCGAAGGCGCGCTTCATGACGGTGTAGTTGGTGCCCGGTGGCCCCGACCCGATCACGAACGGGTTGGGCATCTGCAGCCCGTTCACGCGCACCGAGAGGTCCGGCTCGCCGGCGGCGGACGCGGAGGCCGTGGCGCGGACGTACGTCGCGCGCTGCCGCCCGGGGAGCCGGCGTTGCTGCAGCGGCGAGGCGGTGGCCGCGGCCGCCGCCGCCGTCGAGGCGCGAAGCGTCAGCGATTCCATGGTGCGGTGGTTTTGTTTTTTTGTGAGGGGTTCCTCTGTTTTGATAAGAATCTGTGGGAGTATCACGGATGAGGAAGAAAGGCACGCTTGTTTTTGTAAGCGTGTTTTGGATTTGCATGGACTGATGGACCAGAGCTTACGGTAACTGTAAAAGAAAAACTCTAATCGATACACATTATCCGATTATAATAGTTTATTAAATTGAAGTACCCAACTAATAAAAAAGTATTAGCTGGCTCCTCAAGCTAAATGCAACTAGGAGATCCAAACAATCCCATCTATTAAAAAGTCATTACTAGCTTAGTTGCATGGATCCCAACAGATTTTAAATAAGGAGCTTTGCATACACATAATTATAATTTCAGTTACCTAAATAAGAAACCATGTGATGTATGAACATGTTATTATCGTGACTCAGCTTGCCGTGTCATGTCTGATCAAACAGATGTTGTCTCACCAGAGCACCTTTTCATGAACAAAGAGAGAGGCGACTAGTAACATTTCTTTTATAAAAATAGAGAGAGAAATGCTAGCCTTGTTTCCATGGACTTCATAGAGTTTCTATGGATTGGTCCAATTTAAATCCGTTCTTGATATCAACTTGCACAAACATGTGTACAGTATAGTACAATGAAATGCAGGCTCATGAAACATAACAGCTCGCAAAATCTTCCACCCGACCTAAACACACGAGCGTTGATTATTTAGGCTCGGTGGTACCGCTACGGCACCTTTTTCTAGTTGGTGTCACGATACACATTGACACGCATCCAGCTGACCTTTTTGGTGCACGCACGCTACTGGTCTGCTGAGAGTTCCTAACTCTGTAGCCTGTGCTCTGTACAGGATAATCACGAGTTGGTGACATTGTAAGTGAAAAGGTAGCTTGATTTGGCAAGTAAAAAATGCTGCTGCCGTGTGAATCAGAAACGACGTTAACAGCAACACAGATTCACCACCGTGGTTGCTAACCTCACTTTTGTGAGCCTGATGATGATTAAAATAATTCTGGTGTGACGTGTGATCGAGCACGCCCAAAACAGGGTGATAGAAGTGGCCGGTGGGCGGTGGCCTCGTTGTCCTGCGCTGGCGCCGTTACAAACAACGCTGCGACCGCGAGAGGAATCTCCCATTCTCCCCTCCCATCTGTCGCTTGTTCCCGGCAGGATCTGTGCCGCGCGTCGCGTTCCATGGAGTAGTGGATTCCACTAGTTTGAGTTTTTCGAAACGACTAGGAAGATTACTCTGAGCTGGTCGAGACTACGTGCAAAACGAGCACTTCGTAGTTCTCTTTGTGCAGACTGCAGAAGCACAAGGTATCATCTTCCCAAGATGGCTCGGCAAGTAGTCTAAACCAAGGCATGCAAAACGGTGGACATAGGTCACAAAATGGCAGATATGCCGAAGATCCGATCGTCGGTGGAGGATAAGATAGGGAACGAACGAGCAACTTTCAGATAAGCTGGCAACTGGAGCGGTGAAACCAAACACGATACAAAGATCCAATCAGCGTGCGAGTACCAGTATAATAATTGGTGTGCGCAAATCCATAAGAGTCGTGAGGAACAGGCTTATACGCAACCAAAACTGAGTACGCAGCATCCACAAACAAAGAAAAACACACGTTCCTGGAAACATCCACCTAGAGCTAGAGGCGTCTCATAATCTACCTACCAGCTCAGTACGACAGTACCAAACGTGCCAGGGGCACAGTTTCATATTGCATCGGCCCAAGAGAAGGGCTTCTAACCTGGACGTCCGCATAATGATGACGGACTACATCCATAGGCTCCTCAGCTGGAAGGCTTCATAATTCATTGTGGCTTTCTCGCAGTTCAATCACCCTGTCTCATGTGCTGCTAATGTTCTACAAATCGCCAGCTCAATTAGTTCTATATCCAACTCTAAATACCCCAGAATCAGTGGAGCAACTCACTAACGCTTCAGTCATGCTTCACCACCTTTGAAATGTATGTTCTGCCAAAGTGTACAGCGCAATAAGATGCAGCAGTGATAACGAGCCCGGCAAGAAGAATAAGCCAATCGTAAGCTGAATCTTGCACTGCGTAGACCCTGAGGCCAATAGTGTTCCAGTAGCTTTCAGTCCACACAGGATCTGCAGCGCCCATTGGATCTGACGAGTTTGCTGGAAGAACGTGCCATGCATTGTCCTCAAACTTCACCCGAGTTGAATAAGCAGGAACATACCTGGGAAGTGATGTGTTGCAATAATCAGTAGGTCTCCAAGTGGAGAAAAGGTGAAAACATAATGGCAACCTTTTGCTGAACACAAGGATTATAAGTGAATTAATTATACGTTGGCTAACAGACATAAAAGTGTACTAAAACTAGAGTTTCTTCTGGGTTCAATAAATTGTTTCTTCAGCAGCAGCTGAATATAATAAAAGCAACAAAAAAAAAAAAAGCTGCATAAGCATAACTAGTAAACACAGGTTACCTGGTTGTCGATACAACACATCTACCTCCACCCTCCACCTCTGCCCCTACACATACTTCACCCTCATCACCACACTTTCCAGTACATGAGCTTTTATTGCCTGCCAAATTAGAAGTTCTGTCTGCCAAGAAGTTCCATACAAAGCGAGACGTGTCATCTGCATATGAAGGAAACTGTGTGCCAGAAGGGTCATCCAGAAAAACACCAACATAATGACTTGGGCAGGAATTGCTTGGAGAAATGAATCTTTTCACAAGGCCACAAGAAAGACCAGGATTGCAAGTAAGCAGACATCCAATAAGTTCTTCGACCAACGAAACATTCACTTTTATAGTGTTTAGTGTTATGAGATCGACAACTGAGTCATCACTAGCAAGAATATACAGCGACCTGGCAACCAAAGCAGCAGCTGCAGCTATTGACGAGGAATTGATGTTTACTGCAGAAAAAAAGGATATGTCACATGCTAACAGATGGATTTTCAAGAGCAATGTTGTCAGATTTATGCATTATCTTACCAGGGTTATCCAGATAGCTATGATAAAATCTGTTGGAAAAGTGGGAATCAAAATCCTCCAACACAACTCCAGAAGTTGACGTATTCTACGTTCATTAATTGACAACAGATCATGAGCAGAAGTCTCCAAATAAAACATATTGGGAAAAAAATAATGTTATGGATGTTCAAGAGAGAAAAAAAGTTCCTCAAACAAAGGGAGCAACTATGAATCGCATATATTTACTAAGCATAAGTGGTTTTACCTTCCTTATGAATGACATTAATGAAGATGGTGGAACACCAGGATTTGATGAAGCTGCTTGTTTTACTTTAACATTACCAGAACCAAGCGACTTGCTGGCGCTTTGCAGTGCATCTAATATTTTCTTTGAAGCTGATGAATTCTGTACAAGCATAGGACAAATATAATAAATAGGAAAGAATGGTGTCTAGTATAAGCACCATTTTTATTGCAATTTTAATCGTGGATACAAACATGACCATTATTTGGACACCCAGTGTGCTTTATGCCTTCACTGAAGAAAGGAACACAATTACTCTAGTAGATCTCTTCATGTACGTATCTTCATAACATGATATAATGAAACATGTTTGTATAGAAATTTGAGGGGGGAAAAGGTTCTTTTCTTCTCAATCAATCAATCAAAGGGAGTGCAGCCAACATTAATTGTATAGATGAGGGCATAGACACCACAAAAGTTCAGTAAATGTTTATCCAATTATTGACTAGTGAGTTCTTTAAAATGTGAACTATCTGCCAGTACAATACTAAAAGTTTACATTGGCAGGCTGTGCAATATCAATAATAACTACTTCCTCCGTTCCAAATTGTAAGTTGTTTTTGGCTTTTCTAGGTGCATAGGTTTTGCTATGCACCTAGATATACACTGTCTTAGATACATAGTAAAAAATATGTAAACCTAGAAAAAACCAAGATTACTTACAATTTAGAACAAATACAATCTCCATGGTCAAAATTGGCCAGCTCAAATATCATGTGTAAAGAAAATGGTATGGTTGTTTTGACATATAACAATGTACTAGCACTAAGACATCACAAAAAGATATTTGAAAGCAATATTCTAACTGCACCATGTGGCGACCAGCCATTTCAGCTCTTACAGTTACAGTGCACTTCCAAAAATCCTTACCCCTTCAGCATGCACATAAAATGATGGATATTCCTCAAGTATAGCTTTGCCAACAGAACCAATCTCCACTACCTAAATATGTCCAAAGTGAGAGCTCAGATAACACAAGTGATTCAAAGCTGTCAGTAAAATTCTGAAAAAAGTATTCATTACAATTGGTAGACATAAACTCTGCAGAAAGCAAATATCATGACACAAGACCCAAAAAAAAGCGTTCAAAACAAAGCCTTTATATATGTTTGAAAAATGATTAACAATAGTCTGAGGCTGCCACTGCCTGTATTAACTTGTCTGGCACTCACCTGGTCAATCATTAAGCTACTAATTCCATTCACAGAAGCAGCACCTTCATCTAATTCCTGTAAGAATTTCCGACTCCCAAGATAACCCCAGGCCTCACCATTAAAAACAGCGAACACAAGCTGTATGAAAAATGAGGAAAATGTCAGGAAGAAGATGTTGCTTCAGGAACCAATCACACATAATTTCAGTGCGAGTGATATGAAGAACCACATTAGATGTACCATTCCATGCGTAAGCTAAGGTATAAGAACATTAACAAAGATACCAGTAGCTTGGACCTCACAAGAAGTATAATAGAACAAAAGATAAATTGGTGGAAAAGATAAAATCTCAGCAGTCATATCATACCTGTTTCTTAAGGTTCCTTAGATCATGAATGTGAGAAAGAGCGTCAACAGCAGTAAGCAAGGCAATCAATCCCTGTGAAACAACTCAAGAAATTATTTATATGGCACAAATGAATAATATGAATAGGACGATCGCAAACCGTTAGCAAACTAGTAGCTTACAGATATGGGAGAATCTGAACCAAGACTACGGTCACGAAAAAACGATGCAGAATCTTGGGATGCAATAGCCAATATTAAAGGTTTCTGATGCTCTGCAGATCCATTTTTAAGTGGCGGTAATGAAGCCCATACACTGCCCTTCAAATATGAGGATTTAAACAATGACATAACATATAAAAACTAAATATAAAGGTATGACACTCTGCAGATACATATCTTCTGACAGACAATTTTGAACTTTACTGTATTAGTGTATAGTGTATACATGATTATGCAACTTGCAAACTACCACTAAGGGGAAAAACACACCTGTGTCCTCCTAAGGGCAAGCATGATTGTTCTTTTAGGCAGGATGCTGAATCATGTGTTTGAGCTTTGGTTGTCTGAAGTTCATGTCAATTAGAAGAAGAATAGTCCCATTTGATCAAAGATCATGCTTCAGTTGTCAATACGACATAATAAGGACTAAAAAAGAATCCAAACCTGCATAACAAGGTCGAATTCTGCAAAATTTGCTCTATATCCATTGCCAGTCTTCTCATTTTTTTCTGAAATCTTTTATCGACAGTCATCATCAATATACAAATGTGGAACAAAAGATTAGATAAACAGGACTTTGAAAATAAAAAGGTATGCAACATAGAAGACAGAAAACTACCTTTTGAAGAGTCTTTGTACTCTCTTCTGAAAGTAGAAATACAGGGAAGTTATATCTGTTCCACATGATACCTGATCCCTACAAGATAAAAGAGTAACTGAGGCACATTCAACATAAGATTTAACTTTTACATTGCAGGGAAGCAGCAAGTTTGACTCTTAAAGGGTGGCACAAGTGTAACCAACCCTGTTACTTACAGCAGGATTCCAATCATGGCTGTGATTTGAGTAGGGTGCAAAATCATCTTGTGGAAATTTTCTATCAGGCGACAGCTCTATATAGCAATAAACAGTACATTCTTAGGGATCATCAGGCAAAAATATGCAAATAACACACAAGCAAACAGAGAGATGCTGGTTCAGAATACTGACCTTGTAAGTCATTGTTGACACCATTTGACTCAATCAATACACCAGCCACCTTCTGGTGAAGTTCTGGATCATTGGATACCCTGGATAATAGCACCCAAATATTATTATTATCAAATCTTAACACCCCAAAGGCTATATGACTTTAGAAGGCAAAAAAATAAATAATAAGCTTAACTTCCTTTGGTTAGTACCAAGGCAAGAGGCAAACTTGAACACCTCACGTTTCACAAGCACATACAAACTCAAAAAGATGCGAATACTTGCAGTTGTGCTTACATGTACCTCATAAAGAAATCTGACATCTGATCTAAGGGAAAGAGAATAGTGGATGCTTGGATCAATTGATCACTGCCTTTTCTAAATCTTACAATCGGTGCAATGACCTTTTCACTTCCAGGATCTGACAGCACAAAAGTCATTTCAATAACCAGTTGCTCTTAATGACATGGGGAGGTCAGGTTTAGTAATGGCAGAAGATGCCAGACTACATAAGTGTAGAGCGGAGACTCACTAGAACAGCCAATTTCACCAGAAAGATTCAGCAGCCTCACACAAGGGAAGCTTTCAATGTTTAGGTACATTGCCTTCACAAGGTCTGGAACTGATTCCAACGTGGCACCACCTCCTATAAAATGAAATGGCAATAGCAACATCCAGTTACAGTAGAATAAGCGTGTAGAGAAATATGAAGAGCTATAGAACAGCCATATGCCCCAAACATGTCACTCTTATCTCCCAGTTGCTGAGAACTAGGTAAAAAATACACCAAAATCATAACTACCCCTGGTTTGGTCTCAATTTTAACAACAGAACACATACCAATTATAATTCTAAGCTGTAGTCGAGCAGTGCCAACAATCAGTTGAAGAGCCAGCAAGGCTTTGCTAGCTTCCAATCTCAAATACCAGCACAACAACGACGGAGTTTGCCAAAGTTTTAGAGCTAACTAGGTCTGCTACTCTACTACCCAATTCACCTGGAAGTCGTACTGTGACCTGCTAAAACCTAAGGCCCATAAGATTTACCCTAGAATCTCAGCATCGCATAACAGAGTAAGCAACGGAAGCAAGCGATCGTCTCGATTCGACTGAGCAATTTCCACCTAAACAACTAGAGTAGGCGATGATTTTAGAGGACCAACTCACGGGGGACGGCGGGCGCGAGCACGGCGAGGGCGAGGCAGATGGCCGCCGCGGAGCCGACCGCCATGGCCGAGCCGAGCGAGGGGCCGGCGATCTAGAGGGGGGGGCAGGCTTGGGGAGTGGAGGGGGAGGACCGGAGGCAGGGGCCGTTCGTTTTCGTCGACCGGAACGTGAAGGTCAGAAAAGAGGGTCACAGTCGTGGGCCTTGCGACGTGAGGCGAAGAGCAGGTGGGCCGTATGAGTTAGTGGGCCAAGGAAACAATGAAGCTCATGTCAGGAGGAGGCTCCGCGGTTGCGCTGCCCCCTGGTCTATTCTTCCCCCCCGCGTGCTCTACTACGTTACCGGCCTACCGCCGCCGCCGCCGCCGCCCTACCCCCTGGTCTTCGTCGGGCCCTTCTCCGGCAACGAGCATCCAACAGGTATGCCCGCCTTTCTCTTGCCTTCCTGCTGTGCGAAACCGCGCAGCACTCAAACCCTAACCTACCTTCTCTCCCCTTCCCGCTTTGCGTCACCGAGCAGCACTCGAAGACTGAACGTAAGCCATTTGGCTATTTGTAATCGAACCTGATCTAATTGCAAGTGCATACGTGAATTATGCCTACTAACTTCGATTTTTTTTTCAATATACACCCGTGTCATTTGCTGGTCTGCTCCTGGTCTCAGATCGCCTATGCTCGTGTCGTCCGTTGTCCCTTGTGTGTGAGCTTTGCTTGAGATTGGAGCCTTTGCAGCTAAAGCATGGAAGACAGCAACGCCCTGATTTTGCCCTGCAAAAGGAAGAACAAGGCGCAAGGGAAAGCCAAGGTAATGTCAGCTTGACTTGGAGCCCGGTTTATTGGTTTTCCTTCACAACTCCATTGCACCCAATGTTAGGATTGCATATGTGAACTCTGAAACCACTAAATTTCCAGGATGGTAAGAAAGCCAAGAAGGAAGACCCAAAGATGAGCAAGACGAAGCTGAAAAAGCTGCAAAAATTGGAGGTGCGCCACTTACCATTGCCAATTGGTACTCTTTTTTTTTCTATTATTAGGCATTTACTGTTATGTTGGTTTGGTTGCATCCAGGAGGAAAAGAAAAAGAAGCTGCTACAAGCTAAAAGCATCGAGGTTTTGCAGTATGCTCCTTAACTTATTCTGTTGCAAATGATGCATGTTTACTTGTTTACCATGCTAGCTTTTCTGATGTCACTATACAACACTGATCCCATATGATAGGAAGCACAAGATCTCAGAGGATGTATATTCACTGCTTCATTCTTCAGGGACTATTGGTCAAGTATGGCAGATCAACCCTACCACACTCAGAATTTAGTTATTTTCTCAATATAATAGTGCATTTGCTCAAAGAGCTCTATTATACTGCAGGCTGAGACTTTGAAAGAAAAACGGAGGCGTGCTGTGCAGTTCTCAAAGGCTGGTCTGGATGTTCCTGAAGAACTCTCACTATTCAAGAAAAATGGCGATACGAAAGTTCCTGCAAACAGTGATGTTGTGGAGCAAGTTTCCCCATCAAAGTTTGTTGAGCCAGCACCAGTTGTGGATTCTGGTAGAGAATGTAATAATGAAATGAAGAAGGATCCAGTGAAAGCTATTGAATGCCAACTGGTTATGAATTTTGGAGCTGGTATTCCAGAGCCAAAAACTGAAGAACCTAGTGATGATGCTCATATGTTGACAAATCAGAAAATTCAGTTGTCAACTCCAAGTTGTTCTGGAGCAGAATTAGATTTGCAGGTCATTAGTTTGATCCAAACTATATATTTATCTCATTTTCTGCATGCTCGTCAATGTTTAGAGTATTCAAACGAATGCTAGTTTCACCTATCCTTAGTCCTTACCTGGTGCTAGATCAGAACCTGCTGTACTTATTTTAATATAATTCATTGATCGTAATTATTCCTTTTTTTTTGGTAGGGTAAAGAACTAGAACATGGGGAACATGCTGTACAAGAGTGCATAAATCCTCCAATTGTTGTACCTGTGTCAAGACCACATGAGGTTGAGAAGGCAAGGAGGGATCTCCCAATAATAATGATGGAGCAGGAAATAATGGAAGCTATCTATGAAAATTCTGTAGTAATTCTGTGCGGAGAGACTGGCTGCGGTAAAACTACTCAGGTTCCCCAGGTCAGTATATGTGCATGCACGATGCTTCTTGAACGTGTATTCAAACTAAGACTTTTGGTGTTATCTGCTTATTGTTAACTGTCCAATTGTAGCCAAATCTGTCATTGTTCATTATGCTTTCTGTGTTGTACAGTTCCTATATGAAGCTGGCTTTGGCACTAGTGATCGAGCTGATAGAAAAGGGATGATTGGTATCACCCAACCACGACGTGTAGCTGTTCTTGCCACAGCTAGGAGGGTTTCCTATGAGTTAGGACTTAAGCTGGGAAGAGAAGTTGGTTTTCAAGTTAGGCATGATAGAAAGGTAGGAAGTGAATGCTCCATCAAGTTCATGACAGATGGTATTTTGCTGCGAGAAATCCAGGTTGTTTATCTATCTACTTATCTCATTTGCTTCTACCAATCTATTTATTTATTTATTATTATAATACATATTTTTCTTCACTCAAGTTTTTGTTCATCCTGGTCACTTGTGCTTAAGGGAAAGCCTCTAACAAAGAAATGAATTGCAGTGATATGTTTGCAGCCTTCGAGATCCTAACTGTAGTGTACTGTAAACTTATCATATCTACTGGTCCACATAAACTGTTATAACAATGTTTATTCAAGCTGTCAGCAGTTTACTATGTCAGTCAATTGAATGCTCCATGATTGTGTGATCACAGAAATGGTTCTCCCGTAACTTAAAGTGATTGGACATCCAGAAATGTATATGTGAAAATTTTCTGTTCTTTTCGTTGAATAGGTAACATATAATCCAATCCTGTGCATCATCATCTGATTTAGTAACCTTCTGCAGGGTGATTTTCTGTTGAAGCGCTATTCGGTGATCATATTGGATGAGGCACATGAAAGGAGCTTGAACACAGATATACTTATTGGGATGCTTTCTAGAATTATAAAGATTCGCAAGGTTTGAACTAAAACTTTATTTCATATAAATGAAATGAAAAATATTCATTGCTAACCTTTGCCACATGGCAGGATTTGTATGCAAAGCAGCAGGAAAAAATACGATCTGGATTTAAGATCAAACCAGAGGATAAGATCTGTCAGTTAAAGGTGGTGCTCATGAGTGCTACTCTGCAGTTGAAGGACTTTATTTCAAATAGAAGGTTGTTTGATGTGATCCCACCAGCTGTTAAGGTACCTGTGCGGCAGTTTCCAGTAACAGTTCACTTCTCAAAGAGGACACATGATGATTATTTAGGGCTAGCTTATAAAAAGGTTATGTCAATCCACAAGAGGCTTCCACCAGGTGGAATCCTCGTATTTGTCACTGGACAACGAGAAGTGGATTACTTGTGTAAGAAATTGCAAAGAGCATCCAAGGTGCAAAGTGCTAAGAATCCTGAGAAAACTGATGGCGAAGATAATGGTCCATGCCCAGAAGTAGATGAAAAGGAAATTTTTGAAGCATATGATATTGATAGAAATAAATCTGAGCACCGATATGACATGTTTTCCTCGTATGATGACGATGGTATGAATGCTGAGCCAAATATTGATTCTTCTGACAATGAAACGGAGAGTGAAATGGATACTGAAACTGATGACGAAGAGTCTGTTACTATTGAAACTACAGAAGAGGATGTTCCAGTATTAGCATTTTTGAAAGATGCTGAGAGCTCATCTGCGTTGAAGGCGTCATTTGGAGCTCTGTCGGGAATACCAAGTGTGCTGGAAAGTGTTGAGGAATCAAGTGATGCTAAAGCTGAAGAAAAGACCAGTCCTTCAGTTAGTTGTTTTAGTAAATGCACAGAACATAAGCCTATTCCGCATGGCCGACTTCGTGTCTTGCCACTTTATGCAATGTTACCAGCTTCACAACAGCTTCAAGTGTTTCAAGATATCCCAGAGGGGGAAAGATTAGTTGTGGTGGCAACTAATGTTGCAGAAACCTCTCTAACAATTCCGGGCATAAAATATGTAGTTGATACTGGAAAAGAAAAGGTTAAGAATTATGACCATGCTACTGGGATGTCAAGTTATGAAGTCCAATGGATAAGCAAGGCATCAGCATCCCAGCGTGCTGGAAGAGCAGGAAGAACAGGGCCTGGGCACTGTTACCGTCTCTACTCAGCTGCAGCATATGGTAAAGACGATTTATTCCCTGAATTCGCTGAACCTGAAATTAAGAAAATTCCAGTTGAAGGTGTTGTCCTGATGCTCAAGTTCATGTCTATTGATAAGGTACCAATGTTAAAGTTGCTAATTTCTTCTATCAGATAATAATATTATTTATTTATTTTCTTAGGCTTTTTTGAGCTCATACAAAACATATGATGAATTTCAGGTTGAGAACTTTCCTTTCCCTACACCTCCAAACAAGGAAAGTTTGGTTGAAGCCGTGCGTTGCTTAAAGACATTGGAAGCACTTTATAGTGATGGAAAACTTACACCTATGGGGAAGGCTATGGCGCAATACCCCTTGAGCCCAAGACATTCTCGTCTTCTTCTGACAGTGATTAAGAATTTGAAGAGCCAGCAGAAAGGCTTTGCTAGATCTAACTTCATATTGGCATATGCTGCTGCTGCTGCATCAGCTTTGAGTTTTACTAATCCTTTTCTCAAGCAATTGGATGAATGTGATACTAATGGTGAATCAGAAGAAACCATTAATCCGGAAGCTAATGGTCCATGGGAAAGGAAGAGACAGAAGAAGCTCAAGGCTGTGGTTAGAGAGGCACAGGAAAAATTTTCTAACCCTAGCAGTGATGCTTTAACCATTGCCCGTGCCCTACAGTTCTTTGAGTTGTCAGAAGACCCAATGGAATTCTGTAGAGCTAATTCGCTTCATCTTAAAACCATGGAAGAGATGTCAAAATTGAGAAAGCAGCTTCTGCGGTTAATATTTCACCATAGCAAGTTTTGCGAGGAATTTGCTTGGAATTCGGGTGATTCTGATGATGTTGAACAGGCATGGAGGAATGAGCCCAGTAAAAAAGTATTGCAATTGAATGAAGAGGAACTTCTTGGGCAAGGAATTTGTGCTGGATGGGCTGATAGAGTTGCAAGGAGGATTCACACCTATTCCAAATCATCAGAAGATCGAAAGGTTCGAGCTGTTCGTTATCAGTCTTGTGCACTTGATGATACAATATATCTGCACCGATCATCGCCTGTTGCCCAAGTTGCCCCAGAGCTTGTAGTTTACTCGGAGCTACTTAATACAAAGAGGTTATACTTGCATGGTGTAACAACGGTAAAGCCAGGGTGGCTTTTAAAGTATGCTAGTTCTCTCTGTACCTTCTCTGCGCCATTGGAAGATCCGAAACCGTATTATGACCCACTGAATGACCAAGTCTACTGTTATGTTAGTCCGATCTTTTCTCGACATAATTGGCAGCTTCCATTGCATAGTTTACCTATCAAAGATGAAACAAGCCGGCTGCAAGTATTTGCATGTGCGTTGCTTAAAGGGGATGTTCTGCCATGTTTACGGGATGTTAAGGATTTCCTCGCACTGTCACCATCTGTTGTGTTGGGGCCTGCCAGGCAACGAAGAGTAGGAGATCTTCTTAACAGGATGAAGATCGGTCCAAAATTAGTTGACAGCCGGGCAGCACTGAGGGATGTATGGAATGTTGATGCAGATTTTCTCTATGCTGAGGTCAAGGTGTGGTACCAGGATAAATTCCATAGCCAGTTTGACTTGATATGGGAGCAGATGCACCAACAGGTTCACCTTGAGGGGCACAAGCTTTTCCCAAAGAGATCCAAGAAAGTTAAAGGTTAGTCAGAGATTTTGGTGGGCAGTTGGTTCACTGACAGAGGCTCTTTTTTTATCTTTTTTTTTGTGTGGTTGTACATCTTTCACGTGATCGCTCATTCAGGAATAGATCAGCATCGTAACATTCTGCAAGTGTACAACATAGTTGGATAATGCAGTTGAGCCAATAACATGCATAATCCAGCAGTTTTGTCCAGACATTTTGCCTTGATCTGGATTTGTTTCGTTGCATCTCCGTGTTAATGTACTCATTTGTGCCACTGCAAGCAATTTTCACCCTGCCACCTGTGTCAAAAATGATTTCTGATCCAGCCATTTGCTCAAAACCTGGAACCTGAGAAATATCCTGATATATGCAGCCATAGCCATGGTCCATGGAGGTGATTGGCTTCGAGTGAGGGCCAGGGGTAGGATACGCCAGAAACAAACGGAAATGGTTGTGGGCAGATTGATTATCATTTGTTTCTATTTTTTTTTAGCATCTGCAGTATCCGATTTAGGGACAAAAACAGCGTTAGAGGTGTAGAGTATGCTTTTACCTAGTTTGTGTACCAATGGGATAAAATTGTAACCCTAAACATATTATCCGCAGTTCGCATATGGGTTTTGACATTGGATGACAGAATCATGGTGGCATAGTTGCATGAACTTTGGTCTGCATGTAAAATTGCATTCCAGCAAGATTCGATTGGTTCAACGGCTCAACCTTTACAAGCGACTCGTGGTGGAACAAGTTGGAGTAATTTATCCGCCAATGCAATTGGCATTGGACAAACTAACTCCATGAACAAGCTGTGACATCTCGTGTTCAACTTTAGAATTACGAGCTCTGGAAGAGATTCTGACAAAAGAAGGCTAGGTTAAGTAAACCCAGTCTTTCAAAAAAGAAAAGAAAAAAAAAGGGTAAATCCACCACCTGGACGGCTGGAACCTGGAACTAAAAATTGTCAGTCCGTGACATGCATGTAAATTCTGATAATTTCGCATGGCATCTTCCTGGAGATCATCCCGTGCAGCGTTGGTAGTCGCATCAAAGCTTTTACTAGCTGCACACACACATACTTGAACCAGCAGAGTTTGCTTTTTCATTCGTTTTCATGTTAGTATGGCCAATGGACCAAGTACTCATGCAAGCTTCTTATGGAATGAAACATCTCAGAAATCGGGAAACACTAAACAGAAGGAAACTGAAGTGACTATTGGTGGCATGGCACCTGAGATACCTGCTCAGCTGGTCAAAAATCATCTGCAGAAACAAACATCACAGCACAGGCGCTAGAAGCACTGGTAGTAATTCGAGACAGGATCAGGATGTATAAACATCAAGACCCACGATGCGTAAAAGAGTAGAACAAAACGTACTGCAAAAGATGCTACGACAAGTCGACAACACAAACAAGCAGCAGGGAGGGGGTAACTTGAACGGACGGCCCAGATAAAAGATTGGGCCGTCGAGAGCCGATCGTCACCGCAGAGTGCGCAGAGCCGCAGACAAATCCCACTCCCACCCACCTATTTCCCCTGCTCCGCGCCATCATCATCTCCTTCCCCGGGCGGCGCTGGGCGCACGCGGTGGACGCCGGAGTTCGCCGGCGCGCCGATCAGCGTGGAGATGAGGCCCAGCACGCCGCGAACGATCCCCTTCAGCACCGACCCTCTCTTGGGGATGTAGCGCGGATGTGCTCCCGGAGTCGGCGGGGGCGGCTTCTTGTTGCCATCGCCGCCGCCGCCGCGGTCCCCCACGCGCGCACCTCCGGGACTCATGGCGTTGGCTACCTTGGAGAGCGGCGGGCTGAAGCTGAGCTGAGGTGGGGAGCGCGAGCACGCAGGGAAAGTGAGGCCGCGGCTTGTGTCGTGCGTCCCCATTTTTATAGCACTGCGCTGCCGCTGCCTGCTCGCTCCTGCGGCCGGTGTGGCGTAGTGGCGTGCGCGCCGAGGATGCTCGATGAGGCCGAGCCGGCAGCGAGCGAAAGGATGGAGAAAAAGGCGAGAACTGCAGCGGAAGTGGCGCGCGATGGCGACGGGTGGACGGACGGATTCGCCCGATGGGGGAAGTCTGGCTGGCCTGGGGCGGTGAAGTGGTGGTGAACTGAAGCTACTGGCTGAGTGACTGCCCTGGGCGCCTGGCCAACTGGGAGTGAGTGAGTGAGTGAGTGGGTGGGTGGAAGCTTCTTTTACCTGCGTGGGTGCGGCGATGCCCCGTCAGGCCGTCAGTTCTTGGGAATGGGGCGGAGCGAGGGAAAGTTGCAGGGAAGGAGCGGCGGGCTGCCGGCCAGGCGCGCCACCTGTCCCCTGGGCCTGCACCGTGGGAAAAGCTCGCCGCGCGGGGGCTCCTCCCCTCGGGATTGCGGCGGCGAAAGGTGCAGGTGCGTGCCTGCCGCGCACCTTCTGTCCTCCACCCGAGCGCTTTCGCTGCCCTTTTCAGCCTGATCACCTGATGCGACTATGCGAGCAAAAGCGCAGGTTGCGGGAGTGCGCAGGTTGTTATTACTCCTATGATTGTGTTGTGTTCGGAGCACTGAACACAAAACACCGTTGGTTTTGCAAGCCTGCAGCAGGCCACCGGAATCCACGGTGCGGACCCATGCAGACCAGCCGGCCGGCCAGGGACCCCATCCACCCGCAACAAAAGCATACCCCCCGGCCGGCCGGCCGTGCGTGGCACCGGACCCGTCGCATCGCATGCGGTTGCCGTGGTGAGCTAAAGTGCAAGGAATTCTGGCGGTCCGCGTCATCTTTGCAACTTTGCTACGAAACGAGAGAATATATGTCATATATGTACATAGATTACGACAGGTTCGTGCACTGAACCTCGACCCCGAACCATGGACCATGCAAATATGCAATGCATGCGTTAGTTACGCCGGCTTTAGTTTCAATCCGTCCGTGCCACTGCCACAGGTCCACTGAGTCGCATCGCATCGCATGCCGTCCTTGGAAGCAAACCGGCTCGCGAGTCGCGACGGCGGACGGGGTCGTGGCGGATCTTGGACGGTCTAGTCATCGTCGACTTTTTCAGATTTCACACTGGCAGTGTCGAGCTTGAGCTTTAGGCGTGTTGGTTAGTGGAGAATCGATCGGCTGTCACCAGGTCTGGCCAGACAAGGACTGTAAGCGGCGACAGGAGTAGTAGAGCGATCAGGAAGACAACAGGAGGAGCAAAGGACGTATATATACGCCAGTCGGTGTGAAAACGGAATACTAGTATTTGGTCGCAAGTTGTTTCAGCCATCAGTGGAGTCCCGTGTGACGAGTGACGACAGAGTGCCAGCTGGCCTAGGAGGTGCCAAGGTGACAAAAGGTAGCCTGGCGTCGACTTCTGGGTCAACGTTCTGAAGAACTGTCTGATTCACATGGCAATATCGTGCATTCGTGCTTCTTTTTATTACTCCCTCTCTCCAGAAAAACATGCTGTGTGACAGAAAAAGTTATTCACGTTTGAACAAGTTTTCAGTGAATAATATTCATATTTATGACTCTAAATTAATTTATTATAAAAATATATTTTATTTTTGATCTAACGATATTCATTTGATGTTATAAATATTTATAGTTTTTATCTATATATAATTTGTCAAACATGATATATTAAAACATGATACTATGCTAGAATTGCATGTTTTCCTGAACAAATGGAGTACAATGCAACGAGCAACGCTAGTAAATACCACCTCTGTCTGAAAAAGGACATATTTCTAACCCTATTTCTATAGTCAAATCAAATTTATTGAAAAAGTATCGATACTTATATAATAAAAAGTACTCAAAAAAGTATATCTTATGATGAAGATAACACTTATTTGGTATGGATATTTCTTTTTATATAAACTTAGCTATATTTAAAATAATTTACCTTCATACTATGTTCAAATATATTTTTTCCAAATGAAGTATATGTAAGGGACTATATAATGGTAAAAAAAAATCACCATTGCGACAGAGGCTCAGAGAGAAAGGACTAAAAACAAGTCCAAAAAGCCAAGTCTAAAGGCTGACTTTGACTTTAAGACTTTTCTCATCATTTTATTTTGTCCTGTCTTATGCAGATGCAGTCCTTTCTTCGTAAGAAAGTCTCAGTTTATAAACCATGCTGACGGTTTCTCATCTTCTTGTTCCTGTTCTTTTTCGTATAGGAGCACGTATAGAAGTTTGTTTTTGTTGTCTGGTGTTGCAGACACGCAACCCTCTCTTTGCCCTCTTCCGGACCCGTCGCATCGCATGCGTTTTCGTTTGTATTTGACAAACTTTGTCCGATCATGAGTTAACTAGGCTCAAAAGATCCATCTCGTGATTTACAACCAAACTGTGTAATTAATTTTTTTACCTACATTTAATGCTCCATGCATACGTAAAAAATTGATATGATGGAGAGAGAGTGAAAAAACTTAGAATTTAGAGGTGATCTAAACAAGGCCTAAGTCGAATTAAGCGCCAGAAACAGAGCTCACGGTACAATTCATGGGGCAAATAATAACCCTGGTTAATGGACAATCGAAAAACTGAGCTCCACAGCAACAAGGAAAACTTCGACGAGAAAGTTCCTCGTTAAAATACAAGTAGGTAGTAATGGATGGAGAAAGGAAATATGTCAGCCTCATGGGTTCAGTTCCGGGCCCTCCATTCGCGGTCCTCCAGGACGAGCTGTCCATTGCATGCCGCGCCCTTCTCCGGCCGGCGGTCGATCGGTCGAAAACTACTCCAGTGGCGCTCGCCGCTCACCGCGGCAGAGGCCGGGTCTTGGCGGAGCGGAAGCAGCCGGAACAGCTCGCCCAGGACGCCCCTGAGCACCTGCCCCCGCTCCGGCACGTACCGCGGGTGCACGCCGGGCGCCGCGGCGCCGTCCATCTGCTTCCCGCCGAGGCAGCCCGGCATTCTCGGCAGCTTCCTCTGCCTCCGAGCGTGCTTGGCTGCCTGCCTGCGTGTATGCGCGTGCGCTAGTGTGCCTGCGTGTGTGTGTGTGATCTTGGGGCCGTTGCTTGCTGAGCTGGTGGGCGGGCACTGAGCGTCTGAGCTGTATTTAAACCGCGCTGAAGGGCGACCCGGTCCACGCCGTACTTTTCTAGCCGCGGACAGCTTGCAGCCTGTTCGGCAGCTCGGGATCGGCGGACCGGGTTGTGTTGGCCGCGACCCCCAAGTGGCCGAGTGGGCGCGGGGGTCAGACCACAGACCAGGTGGGTGAGGGACGGGGGGCAGAGGCATCCGGGCCCGTGGCGGACGAGGGGGTTCCTTCGATTCACCGGTGGGGCGAGTCGTTAAACGAGACCGCGTTTGGAATTGGAAAAGGTTACACCGGGGCGGAAGCGGAATAACTACCGCAGAGGTTTGAGTGGATCAACGCGGAGCCCGCGGCCTCGGCGGGTAGCGTGGAGAGCAGAGGCAGGCTCGGCGCTCGCCTCGCCGGTCGCCGCCGAACCGGCTGTTGCTTCTGAATACTGTAGAACCGAATTGCCCTGCGCAGCGTGCAGTCAGCAGCCGGGAGAGGATGGATTTCCATAGAAAAGCGCGTGATTTTCCTCTGGTAAAGCTTTTCACGTACGCGTGCTGATACTCGGGATTGAACCACTAATATGCTTCTTATAATCTAATTATGTGCTGCATCAGCTCAGCATTAATCCAGTCCAGGTCTGGTTCATCACGAGTAAAGATGAAGACTGATATACTCTCTGTGTGATAAAAATTTGATGTTTTATATTAAAAAATTGTTTCGTAAAGTTTAGCTTAATGCTTAGTTCATCATGAGTAAAGGCATGATTGGGCACATATCAGCAATTCAGCATCCCCACCTCGCCTGCTATTGCGGTATGTATGTGTCCATGCATTACTATTAAGTTTAAACTAGCGACTTATTTCTGGTAATTAGGGCGTTCCCAATGGTTCCCAAATAGCTAGTCTAGGAAGAATTTCATTGGCTATTAAGGAGAGAGATCAAATAGCTAGCGACTCTCAAATAGCTAGTTTAACATGATCTCCCATAAACACTCCTCTCATAGCTCACGTATCTCTCCACTACAGTGTTCATTTTTTTATTATTTATATGCCTCGTCTAGCTAGCTATTTGCAAATTGTCATTGCGGACGCCCTTAGTGTGGATGGCCTTCAATAAATAGTGATATGGCTAAGCACTAACTGTCCCAGAAATCTTAAAACCATCAAGTATTTTGGTGTGCTCTCGTACCCCACCGCAGCGCGCTCCAATGCCACTAGCGTAGGTAGGAGGGTGGTTGACGGCGACGCATAGGTAAATCGCGTACAGGAGACCGCCGCTGACACAGAGGAGTACCAAACTATGGCGGCAGGAAGGAACGAGCCTGGCAATGGCGTGGAGATAGAGCGTGGGGAGGAGAAGGCCGGCGGCAGCATGGAGGATGACTGGATGAGCATGAGCGTCGCACGGAGGAGGAGATTGATTGCAGCGCAGGGAAGGGGGCTTGGCATCGAGGAGGAGAGGCATGGAGAGGAAGAATTGGAACCGTCATGGGAAAAAGCTGAGGCCGACCATGATGGGGTAAAGCTCCTTTTACGTTGAACCGGTAAATATGCCCCTTGTGTTGGAACGAGGGAGAAAAAGCTATTAACCGTTCATGATAAACAAGGATATAAATGGTACATATCTATTTATGTTTTAATGGTCTATAAATTAAATTTTAAAATGAATAATTTAATTTATTGTAGCCATATCATCCATAATATAAGTTAATGTTGGTCCTATATTAAATTTAAAATACGATCTTGATAGACTTTTTTTATCCTTTTTAAAAGCACAAAAATCTTTACTCATAAATATATCATAACTTAATTTGTCATACTATTAATGTCTTGATATAGGTAAACATTGAGTTTCATGATTTTCTTTAAGGACCTATAAAATGACTTTCTCCCATTTCATAACTTTCATTACTATCAATGTTACTGACTCGTTAAGGACTCGTTTGTCCGCTGATGATTATGGAGGAAGACATCTCTTGACTTTTCACATGGTTGCCCTCATCTGGATTGCATTGATATATGCGTACAACTTGGAGACATTTATTTATTTGGATTGGATGATAACAAACTGCTCAAGATTTTTATTGACAATTTGATTACTTGGATCGGGTTCTAATAAGAAAAGTTTTGTTTTCTAATCAAAATTACATGAACAATTTAGTTTCTTTATTAGGAAAGTGTCAGTGTTTTGTCAACCGAGGAGTGAATTTATACGTGTGTCGCGTTATTCTAGAAAGACGATGGTAGCATCCAAAGACACAAAGAATTATACTGGTTTAGGCCGGAGCTCTACGTCCAGTCTAAGAGATAGTTCGAGTGCGTGTTCCTCAGTTGAATGTTCTAAAGTTCTTACAATGGGGTATGCAAGAAGAGATAAAGAGGTCAGAGAGTGGAGAGGGACTGCCCGAATGAAGTCTCGGGAGTCCGTCCCTTTGGAAGGGAGCCCTGATTGCTCTTATATACAGTCCGGGGCCATGTTACATTCAGAGAGATAGGTTCTCCCAACAGAGTGGTCGTGAGTCTAAGGGAGGGGAAACTGGCTAACTTAGCTTGCAAGGAAGGCCATCTTGTCTTGACGTCAACGCACGTCCGGGTGTGGTTGTCGTCATAGTCTTGTGCCCACGTCGCAGCATGGTGTGGCGTGATGCTACAGTGCCGGTCGTGACAACACTGTTGGCACAGTGGTGGTTTGCCATCTGTCCTGTGCGACGTGAGCTCATCGTGGCCTTCATTATTGTCTCCCGTCCTTCCGGTGGCGTCAATATGAGAGTAGGTAGCCACTCCCTCGTCGACGGCTGTCCTATTGGTCGTGAAACCAGTGGTCGTGATCCCGAGCTTCGGGGTCGTGGCCCTTGTTGGCTTGATTGGCCTTGAAAGTAAAGGCCGTAGTCATGAGCCCCATCCCGTAGTGGGTAGGACCGTACTCCCATCTCGTTGGGCTATATTTGGAAGGTGGGACACCGTACCTGTTGTCACCGCCTGGCGGTGCTATCATGTCTGCGTAGCGTGGCACAGGGATGGCGTCTGTCTGGTCTGAGGGGATAGCTATAATGACCCAAGATTTATTACAACCTAGACGATCATTTTTTGATAATGAGAGTAGCAAATCACCAAGATTCCTACAGAACTCCATATTATGCGCCGCACAGTGAAACACCAAGGACTTGATAATACACCCGGCATAAAGGAAGAGAACCCCGACTTAGACTAGTGTTTGTCCTGTTAACCCCGTCAACCCTAATTACATCTTAGAACACATGTGGGAGTGATGCATTGACCATTGGTATCCACGGTTCGATAACTTAATCGATTCAACACAGGACAGAGACTACCGGACAGCGCGCCATTTTATCAGATCATCCGATAAGCATGGAGCAACAGCAGGAAATAGGAAATGAGTTGTTTGTCACTTAAGTGGGTGGTACCCACATGTCAGCATGAAAGAGGATGTATATCCTTCGGCTGAAGCCTCACCCTCTCCCTCATCCATTTATTTACAACAACTCTCTCTCTCTAACTCTCATGAGCAAAGAAGGAACCCTAGAACTAGAGAGAGAAAGGTTGAGAGAAGAGATTGAAGGAAGGAAAGGAGAAGAGCATCAGCACCTTTCCATGGATCTCAACAACACCCTCAGCCCACTCAAGCTTGAAGTTGCTTTGCTAATGGAGAATCCATCACGCATGAAGAAGGTGATGGATGGAAGAGCTTGCATGATGGAATTGAAGGAAGCTTGGATAGAAGAAAGGTGGGATCTTCAACCTCTTGCTATGGAAGCTCTCAAATCTCAGAGCTAAGGATCTTCATCTCGATCTCAAGGTTCATCTCTCTCCTCATGAGCTTTGATTCAATCCCTAAGCCATAGCCACACTTAGTGAAACTAGCTTATAACCCAGCTATAGTGAGCCTAGTAAGCCACCTAAGCCATCATAGGAATGTTTGGCACATGCAAGATGCACAACCCCACAAATCTAAGCTTGAACTCCAAGATCACCCAAGAGCATAGGTCATGTCGCCCGATTTGTGGAGAGTCCATCAACTCGACAGAGTGTCCGTCAATACCCTAAGAAGTTACTAGAAAGCCTTACCCATAGTCAGCTTAGACTACCGGAGTGTTCGCGATACCCCGTGGAGTGTCCATTGAATTATAAGGACAATAACCCAACAACCCGAGAGTACCCAGTTCATACCGGAGCATCCATCAATGGACCAGACCACCCGATGTGAACAGAGAACCATATATATACCTAAGTCCTAAACCTACCGGAGTCTTCGTGATCTCCACGGAGCGTCCGTCAATCAGTACAGAGCTAGAACAGAACCAAACCACCTCGGTACCTAGTACAGCGGAGTGTCCGTCAGTAGGACGGAGTGTCCGATGATCCACAGAGATGTATGAGACCACCAAGCAAGCCTACCTAGGAAGTCAACAAGTACTAGTCTATACCTTTTTCCATGTAGTGTAATGACCAAGCCACAGTTAAATGTTCCATCCCAAGTCCCTAGTACTAGCCCATGCACCAATGCCCTTTCTCGTTATCATAACCATCGATGTATCTCCTTAGGCGCGTCTCTCGTATTCTTTTAGGAACATCTCAACTGAGGATCGTGTAGCTGTACAAGTGGTTATCGTCAGCTTCTAGATGTCTGAACGGCAACACCATCAGACAGGAACCCCACTATTATAAACCCTACTTTGGATACTTACCAAGTTGCATTATGAGTTATGCATTACATGTAGTCTTAAATAATGATCACTCTTATATTACACCAGAGTAGCTTAATAATCTGTAGAAGCCTCTCATCTAAACAATGGGAGTGGGAACGCTTAATGCTTATTGCTTAGTTGCTTGGTCAAGGATAGAAGTCGAGCATGAGAAGGGAACTC